TTGCCTTATACGTTGAAGATCATTTGCCCAGACTGGGATGAATGCACAGCGATTTACCCATCTGCCGGCATTGTATTGCCAAGGCATGCTCCGCAGGACACCTAAGTTACACAACCCCACAAGGCGAATACTCTCCGCTCGAGCACAGCCAATGAAGGGAGTACTAGGCGATGCATGTCATCTAGACGTAGAGAGGAGTGGATGTAGGAGGTTGGTTGCTCTATGGATAGATTATGCGTAGCCCATTGGTTTCTGTATCGTACGCTTGACTGAGAGCTATGTTGACCTTGTTATCTTAGTTGCCAAGTGATTTGGCTGTTCAATGTGGCCATGTATGCTTTGCATGCCAACAAAACAGAGGTTTCCCCATTTCGATGCCCGAGGTCTGGAAGTGTTCAACCGGATGAAGCAGCCAAGAAACGTGGCTGCTCGTGACAACGACACTCGGTATCAACATTCCGTTCGGCAGGAGAATCGAGTCAAGATAAGCTCATGAAGTATGGGGTAGGGCAATAGTGGCGTTGGGGATTGTGGGTCGGCCGGTGGTTGAGCGGGGAAATCAAAGCTTGATTACATGGCATGATGTTTGAGAATGAGGATTGAGGCACAAGAGGAAGGAAGGGAAGTTGGTCTCTTCCCACCCCACCATAAGTACACTCTCTTAGACCATGCCGCGCATATCAACGTCACTCATCCGCAAGGCGCGCGCGATAGATTCTCTTCTTCCCGCTCTTCTCGCACCTTGCCGTGATCTGCAGGCTGCGCAGAATGAGTTGCGATGGCTGCGCGAACACGTCGAGGAAGTTGGCCAAACACGACGCGTCAGGCCAGACAAGTGGGCCAAGAGAGCTTTGCTGCGCCAATTGGTTCACGAAAGGTCACGAGGAAAGCCACTCCAGTATATACTCGGCACAGAACACTTTGGTGATCTGGAAATACGATGCAAACCTGGCGTACTGATTCCAAGGTATGAGAAGTTCACAGTCTTAACAGCTTTGACTGATTTCTGCACCAGACCTGACACAGCGGCGTCAGTCACGCATCTTGTTAGTCTTCTTCGCAACTCGAAAAATCTTCCACCAGAGTTGCGTCTTCTTGATCTCTGCACTGGTACCGGCTGTATCCCCCTTCTCTTCCAACATGAATTATTATCTGCACACAGCGATATCAACTTGCGCCTTCTCGGCGTCGATGTGTGTGACAAAGCGCTATCTCTGGCTAAACACAACCTACAAAGGCTGTCCAAGGACCGACAACTCAAGCCGAACGGGCAAGCTCACTTTCTAAAAGCCGACGTACTGATTGACCCGTTCGTGGATGAATACGGACAAGTCCTTCCGTTAAAGGCAGCCCTCAACTATGCTTCGCAGCCGGTTTACTGGGACATAGTCATTTCCAACCCACCTTACATCTCACCTTCTGCCTTTTGGAAAACTACAATGCGCTCAGTGCGTAATTTCGAACCAAAGCTTGCACTGGTGCCACCATTCAAGGACAAACACACAGACACGCAGCAAGGCGATATGTTCTATCCGCGTCTGCTCAAAACTGCACGAGATGTGGAGGCCAAAGTGGTGCTGCTAGAAGTCGCCGATATTGAGCAAGCGCTACGTGTGGCTAGGGTTGCCAGAGACTTGGACACATTCGATGGCATTGAAATTTGGAGGGAAGATCCCAACGCTCCTACCATCGAGACAAGCAAAGATGGCTTTGACGTTACTGGGCAAGGAAATGCCAGAACAGTCCTTTGCTGGCGAGGTCAAGGAACGTGTTGGCTCGGGAAAACAACCACTACTTCTGCCAAATCTACGGTAGAGAGTGCAAACCACCTGTTCAGGGACCCTCCAGTTACATCAGTGAACTCTGCCGAAACTTGTTCGCCTAAGGTAGATACATATGACTTGAGGCCTCAGTTCGATTTGAAATTTTTCTCGCAGCAGGATCCTCAGTCCACTAGGCGTTTTCGTAGGCCAACCTGCAAGCAAGATTGGATGGCTGACAGACATTTGGTCCAAACAAAGCCCTGATGCTCAAGGGCATTGCGCGTAGAGGGCTTGGACACAGATTCGCTACTGCATAGCAACACAGAGACTACAGAGTTAGTAAGACGATATGTGCAAGGTACGGCGACTAGAGATTGGTAAAGAGTTTTGGGAATGCGCAAGAGCTGAGCCTGCCAGGGGACCTGGAGGCGGATGGAGATTGTCAAATTGGTATTACAGGGGTAAAATGATATCTGGACGACGGCAGCTCGGTGGAGGAACATCTTGTCTCGAGGAGAATGATGAAGGATCAAGAATCACCTAGCCTTCTTTGCTTGAGTCTGGAACAGCTGTCGCTTTCTTCTGTCCTCCCACCGCGCCCAGCCAGAATCGACCAAGTCCTCCTGGATGACGAGGTCTCTGACACGGAGTACCCTCAAAAGCCATGTATCGAGCGCCCACTCAATCCAACCTGCTCTCCGCAGGTAGGTCGTGAATGCGAACCAGACCAGAGCAAATGTGGCGCCGGCGGCACAGCCAACCATGACTTGCTTGGGGGTGTGGTAGCTCAAGTATATGCGACTGATGGCTACAGCAGCGGCGCCAAGCAAGGCGAGGAGTGAGAGAACGATGCGGCCGCCCAAGGAGAAGGGAGTGTGGGTTTCGGTAGGATGCGGGACGTGACGGAAGATGAGGAAGAGGGCGAGGGTGACGGAGAAGAAGGAGACAAACTGGGCATGCGACGAGGGCATTCCATAGCCTTTGTTATACTTATGCATTTCTGGTTGTGTAGCCGTTAGTACAGGATGCTATTTGGGTTGGTGGGTTGGAGTCGTGTGGTCGTACGCCTTGGTCGCTCTTCCTTGATATATCTCTTGAGCACCCAATTCAGGGCCTCGCACGCCATTTGGCCGGCAAACATAAGGAATATCTCAATCTCGCGGTTCGACCATATCAGCGTCGCATAGACGACGCACAGGGCCTGGGGGACGAGAGCCAGCCATGCGCACACCCACGAAACGCGGTCGGCCGGGTCCTACGAGCGTCAGCAGTGTGCGGGCAGTGGCTTTGCAGATGTACCAACATAGTACACATGGGTGAGAGAGAGCGAGGCAAGCGGAGGGTCGTCCATAATGCAGCGACGATGTGAGTAATGACGACAGACTCTGGGTGATGGTGGCGCATGCACATGCCCAGCGACGCCCTTCAAGACTTGGCGCGGCGCGGGCAAGGTACGCCACGCCCCGCCCTTTGCGGCTCTCACTGACAATTGACTCTACTGCCGATAGATGCATCTAGTATCTGAGACCTGTCTGTTCTTCTCCCCCTTCACCATGGGCCTCTTCAAGGCCTCTTTTTCCTTTATGCGCTATCGGTAGCTGCCGCCGCCTCCGCCGCCACCCATTCGCCATATCAACCTACCGTTCTCCCCCCGCGCCCGCGACACCAACCCGCCCAACGCCACCCACATGGCCGAAGCCACTCCGGACGATGAGCGCGCCGAAGAGCTCATCACCCTGCAGTCAATCTACCCAGAGCTAGTCATTCAAGAAGACAATCCCTACCAGGCCACTCTCCAACTGCTCATCGCCCCGACCAAGCCCATTCCCACGACCTTCGAGCCTTCGCAACATGTTGAGCGACTCGCCTACCTCCCGCCCTTACGCCTCGATATTTCCTTACCAGAAGGATACCCTGCCCAAGTTCCACCGGTTGTAAAACCATCAACTTCGCCGTCATGGCTACCCGAGAACATCCAGGCTGCATTATCCGCTGAGGCGCAATCGCTATGGCATGATTATGGAGGAGATACCGTCTTGTTTGCCTATATCAGCTCTTTGCAGGAGCAGGCCGAGACTGCTTTTGGTCTGCAAGGACTCACACTTCCGTCAAGCGTTCAAAAGCACATGGTAGACTATGCTCGGCACATGAAGAAAGAGCTATTCGACAAGGAGACTTTCGATTGCCAAGTGTGCTTGGAACCCAAGAAGGGGTCTGCCTGTTATCGTATGGCTCGTTGTAGTCACGTCTTCTGCATCGCCTGTCTGCAGGACTACTACAACAATTGTATCAACGAAGGCCATGTCCACAACGTCAAGTGCATGTCCACTGAGTGTGGTAGTAGTGCCAAAAAGAAAGATCGGCTCCTGTCTCCAAAGGAACTGCTACAAATACCCATATCACATAGTCAAGTCGAACGATACGCCAAGCTCAAGCGAAAGAAGAAGATTGAATCTGACCCGACCATTGTCTTCTGTCCTCGATCTTGGTGCCAGGGCGCCATGCGTACGGAGAAATACCCCAAAATTACCGATGTCGGTCAAATGGACGACTCTGACTCGGAACCTGACGAGACCCCAGAGATCTCGACAACTGCCGATACTGGGCCCGAAAAGCGCCGCGTGGGTGTGAGGGGCATGGAAAGGCTGCAAGTCTGTGAAGACTGCAATCTTGCCTTCTGCGTTGTCTGCCTTGCCTCTTGGCATGGAGACTTTGTGCGCTGTGAGCCCCGAGATGCCACTCAGCTCACCGAGGAGGACCAAGCATCACTCAATTTCATCGCAAGGAACACAACACCATGTCCGTATTGCTCTGTGCCTTGCCAGAAATCTGTAAGTAGCCTTTACCTTCCTACGTCTACAGCGACCCCTGCTGACACATGTCAAAGTACGGATGTAATCACATCACATGTGCTCAATGTAAAACGCACTTTTGCTATCTATGCAGTGCCTGGCTTAATCCAGATCATCCATATGCCCACTTCAACGATCCAAAATTCAAAGATTGTTTCCAGCGCCTCATGGATGGGGCTGAAGGTGACATGGACAATGGCGAGGTTCGATTCGGTGGACGTCGGGGTGCAGAGCAGCTTGCGGACTTTTGGGAGCAAGAAGCCCTGCGCATACAGATGGACGAGTTCGGCGATACATGATATCATTTACAAGCGCTGGGCATATAACATGGCGCAAATTCAAACATCAATATCAGAGCATTGAATCTTGCAACCTTTCCTAGAATTCATAATGGTAATGAAACTGCCCGTCGACCTCGATCTTGTATATCTCTTGATCTTGTGACGTTGAGAAAGTCCTTGGTCTTCTCAACGTCTCCTCGCCGACTTTGAATCTCGACCTTCTTGCTCGCCAGCTCATCCAACCTCTCACAAACATCTGCATAAACCAACTCAACACGTTTCTCCATCTCATCCACCATGTCCGCCGTGCTCTCCTTGAACTCAGCCAGCTTATCGTCAAACACACGATTCAGCTCCGTGATGCTGTCTTCCTTGATCATGACCACATCAAGCTTCTGCTCCTCAAGTAGCTCGTGAAACTCATCGTCAGCCGCGCTGCGAAGTTGCGATGCATGGTCGAGTGTCTGGGCGTATATTTCTTCAAGCTGAGCTTCGAGGCGAGCGGTTGCGTGGGCATTTAGCAAGTTGCCGAGTGAGGATATTGGTTTTGGTTTTGGCTTTGGAGTTGACCGGGAAGGTGATGATGAAGGTGATGATGAGTCAGGGGCAACAAGCACACGTGGGAGCATATCTGGTAGTATCGCCTGAAGCATTTGCGGGAGCAATGTTTCCAGTGTGTTCTTGATTGCATCTTGGAAATCAGGCGCGCTGGTGATGGGAGAGGGCGAACGTAGTTTGGGGCTCGGCGCTAACACCGATACTGCTGACGCCTTTTCGGTCGGTGATGATAATAGACATGTCGTAGACGAAAGCAGCGCGCGCTTTAAAGATGGTTCAGGTGATGGGCTGGTTGTGACTATACATCCATCTTAATGGCAAGTCGAAATGGGATCCAGGCAAGAATAGACTTACCTTGTCTTGGACGTTTCTTAGACGCTTCGATATATGGGGGAGGTGCTTCGGACGCGATATCATCTACTGGACCCAAGACGGACCAGTCTGCTAGCTTGAAATGTCTTGCCGAGGACGGATCCACCGGTATCCCAGTCAGCTGTTCCGGATGTCTGATGAGGTGCTCGAATCGAGCACAATGGTCCTTGTGTAGCCAGTTCCAGTCAAATAAGATATGTATCTGAGTTGCACTGGCGAGCTTAACGAACTGAGCAAAGGCGGCACCAAACCCCTCCTTGGGCAATATTGGGCCGGGCGATGGAGGACACCAGACAGGGCAAGGTGCCTTGAGGGTCAAAGACAACATTTTCAAATGGGCATTTCCCTGCCGAGCAATATCATGCAGCCGATCCTGTGGAAGGCTGGTGGGCGGGAGCTGGACCGAAGTGTTGCCGGGCACCAGATTGTCAGCATTGTAAAGCAGGGTGAAGGTTTGCTTGTCGTCAAATCCTTGGATGGGCAGTGAGTATTGTAAAGAGATAGTGGCTTGCATGCGCGCCTCGAGATATTTGACGGCTAAGCAACATGGCCATTGTGATGCACCATCAGACGCGAGAGAAGCCAGTACTGGAATGCCGCTTTTGCGGACGAGGTTGTAGATCATTGTTTATTAACTGCTCTATACTCTAACATATACTTACCTAGAAAAGGCGATACCCCTCTTGCCCTAAAATGTCACAGGGAAGAAGAACCCACCCACCCGGGCTTTGATTGCACAGTTGGCAATGAGCAGCCCTGACTCTGTCGCGGAAGCTCTCCCAGCCACCTCGTGAACCGCTGACCACGCCGTGTTCACACGACTCGCGCCAGTCTGAATGACACCCCTATGAAAGCTGAAAGCCAGCACGTGAGCTAGGCTGACGAAACTGTGCAAACCGCATCAAAGGCCTTGTGAGATTCGCAAGGATGGTGTATTGAGGCCTGGCTACGAGAAGGCAAAGACGACAATGTATCAACGGCTGACGGGGTGTGTGTGCTGGGGAGTCGCTGTCTGTAGGTTTCGAAGGAATGCGTATCGTGGAGGCCAGCTGTGTATGTGCGGGGGTTGCGTATGATGGTGGCGCGCTGGTTGTGATGGAGAAGAGGTGGGGAGGGGGCTGTCGGAGCCTGATGTACAGTACGCGAGGGAAAGCGCGTTTGAAAGCGCGCTAGCCTGATATGGACTAGTGAAAACCCTACGCCATACCTTCACTCCTGACGCAACCACCTACCATCCTGGTAAGTCTAGCGATCTGTGCGAGCGAGCTTGAACACATGTATGTCGGCATTGGGAATAGCGCTTTCTCAAAAAAAAGCTTAGGTGAGGTGACATTACAAATCCAAGTACTAGCCAAGCAGGACAAATAGGCTTACGCGCAGGCACTGGTTTACCTGATTTGTTATTAGTCTGTAAGAATTGGGTTACTGGACGTTTACTCGTGTCCACGAGTTCCTTTCCCAACTAGGATATCCCTTGCCTAAATACTTCGTGTTCTGAGTCTTCACTATAGGGGTAAAACTCCGACTCTAGTCCCAAAGTGATAATTGCTAAATTGATTACACAGCCCCTTGCCTTCACAGCCAGATAATTTCACCTATGTGAACAGAACTATCTAGCCATCAAGTTTTAGGTCCTTTGGAAATGTGAAAGGTGCAGGCAAATAAAGACAACTTAACATATCTACATGTGATGCATAGGCGATGCAGTTTTCCACCGAGCGATCAGGAAGACCAAGAAACCTCAAGCATAATGTAGTAGAAAACACCGTCGGCGAAAACGCAGTAGCTGCCATGATGCAAGCACAGGGCATCTTGATAGAAGGAAATTATAGTGGTCGCTCCACTTCATAAGTCTAGTCATTTCCCCGTTATCTATCCCCGCCAGAGCAAACAGGCATTACTACATAACTACCTAATTGCCCAAGTGCCTGTCATTCTTTCTCTACTTAACACTTGCTCAATCTTCCACCATGCATTTTCCATTTTTCGCCGCTCTTCTGGCTACTGCCTTTGTCAACGCCAACCCCGTCCCCGAAAACCTTGATGACATTGCCACCAGCGCAGAAGATGCACTGGCGAAGGCTGCAGCAACCGCGCCTGAGCTTGTGAGCCGTAAAGACTGGGTAAGAGCATCAACAAAACCATCCTTCTTTCGCTACTTTCTAACAAGTTTTCTGGTAGCTCTGCGATCCCGTGCTTCAGAGCTGTGGCACTGGAGACCCCAGCGAGGCTCATTACTGCCGACCTGTACGTTACTCCTTCGTCGATATATCCCACATACAGCATGCTGATCGTGGCTTTAGAACTCGTGCACCGGATGGCATGGATGCATTCCCTACACCACCTCAACCGGCCAGAGGTACGCATATTGCTCTTAAGCGCTGTCAATCCCGCTGGATACCTGTGATAGCCACGTCTATCCGGGATATTCAAGTTCGATCATTTGTGTAGTTTTGATACTACTGCAACGTACCGATAGCTCTTTAGTAGCTCTTTGTCTCTATAAAGCAATATTGCAATAGGTACAACTTTCTGAAAGTACAACTGGTAACAGCAACGTGTGCGTTTGAGCATGTGTAAACAGCGTGATGATAAGAGTTAGCTTAATCGACCTGTTTGACTGTTCACTTATTTCAAACAAATCTTGATTTTAGCACGTACATCATACGCCTTGTCGCCCTACCTTCAAGTACACATTCTCAATTATTATCACACGCGCATTTGGGGTTTCAATATGGAGAGTAGTCTGTTCTTTCTCTCATTGTCTTGGCTTGATATGGCTTCACAGATCATTGACTTTAGAATGATGGAGGATAATGATTGTTGATGTGCTCTAAAACGCGACATATGTGCAATATTGGTACAAGCAAACATGAGACTTTAGGAACATATATAAGAGCGGATAAAACTACCACCTAGGCTATAGCGATATCTGCGAGATGAACTTTGAGAATTCAACTCAGTTGTTTCATAGCTCACATCTAGGATGAAAAGACAGCTACAATGAGATGACCAAGACTTGCTGCAATAAGATAAAACGAACCCGAGATGTTACATGTGTTCTTTGATACACAGTGAAAAAGAGCAATGAATGAACAATTCTTTCAACATATCGGGAGTATCATTGGTATCAAGCTTTCACGACTCTCGTTTCAGTTTCAAAAATCTACAGTTATTTCGTTCAAGCTGATGGTACGAACGCTTCAAACCCCATATGATTTGGATGTCTACCCCAAAGAGGGAATATATCCGCAGCAATAGGCAACACTAGACACCCGTCATTTACCCAACTGGCACTACTCGCCTCATCACAGTTTGGAACGTACAATCGATGTGAATCATTCGGTTGCATCGGCCTTCTTATCCCACGGACATCAAATATTGATTGTAGTCGGTTTAAGAGCGCGCAATCCACGCGTCAATGGCCATATTATCTGATCCCTTCACCCAGTTACTTAATCACGGGACGAAGGGTATTATCGAATAATATTGACCGCCAGCATATATCAATACTCGTTCGACCATTCGAACCAAGCATATGATGAATGAACAACCGCTCCAGCCTCGTAGGAAAAGGTCGATATAATTAGAGAGGTAGTAACAGTCTTGCGAAGGCGTCATTACACTGATCGGTTAGTGACTAAGCATTACCTTGCGCCACCAGAGACTCGTGCATGATGACCAATGAAGCTCAAGTAGTAGAGGCCTTGGCATTGGTCAAAAACCCGTCTGCCGGATTGCCGATGTCGACCGTTCAAGGGGGTTATGACGACTTGATCCGGTTCAAATGCGCCACAAATCCTAAAGGAAACCACAAACCAAGACCATGAAGCTGACTATACGATTATCAATAGCTGTATATGGAATCTCTTTGAAAGGCTTCTGCTATATGGAGAACTTTACTTTGGCTGGCCCACAATCTCTGATGTAGCCCGTCTGATTAATGCTATGATGTTAGGAATCTCCGTTTTGAGCTAGCGCTGGGTGACGTGAGCAACATGGGAGCATCACATAATATACCTCGCAAAGAGTACAGTTAGATTAGCTGGTAGTCAGAGCAAATAGGGTAGCGATATTAGTCAGGGTCTCACGGTTAGAGCCGTCAAAGTAGCCGGGCAAACATGTAATCAAAGGCGCAACCTTATTCAATACCGTTTCCGCGCTGACAATATAATGTTCAAATGACCTGCTAGGCATCAGCATTCCCAGAGTGCATGAGAATTGAGCTGGATAGCCTGTTGCCACATGTATTTTTTTTCTCAGCGCCAAAACTGAATGTGGTGGCTTTGGCTTCCGCGGACCCGCGGCTTCCCTGTCTGAAACACTTGGGAAAGGGAATCGTCATGCAATAATACTCTGGACCACGCGTCAACCCAACCTTCGCTTTCCATCCCTTAATCGCTTAATCCCACATATATCCACAACCCTACTCGCTAATATCGTTACCAGAGACGAGATGAGATCAGGACATCAAATTTTGCAGGCGGGCGTCAGGGCAATATGACAGTCAGAAAGAGACGGACGAAGGCGGAGGAGCGAACGACTTTGTGATGCAAGTTTGCCATGGCGCATTCGATTGAACCGTAGTCTTCTACCTAGCGTCGCCGCGTAGCGTCAGCCGTGGTTATGTGTTCTCTTCGAAAGGTTCCTAATACGGAAATACCATGACGAGTTCGTTGGGGGATTTACCCGTTCCCGCCCCCGCCACTCATCTACGTACTATTTCCTCGGCAGATGCTGCGAGGGCTTCCACAACTCAAGACTTCCAATGCCAACCCCAAACCCCTACCGCATTTTGCTTTCTACTTACCATACTTACGTGCGCAAAATTACACATTTCCCTACCCTGTACAGAGATGCGGCGCTGAACACTAATCCGCGAATCATAAAATGCATGCTCTATTTACAACCCTGTTGTCCCTGAAAAGCTGACCGCTTAAGTACTTACTTACTGGTGCGGTAGAACCAGCACGGCAGATCCCCATGTGATTCGATGCCGATGCTGGCCAATGCGGAGGATATTTCATGCGTAATAATAGTATACGACGGCAGTTGATTTGCTGCCAATCGAGTATGCATACTACCACTACATACATACTAATACTTAGTACTCGCTTACTGACACGAGATTAACGAGATCTCGCCTTCTCATTGGTACCATCTCCATTGCAATACGCGTGCATCCTCACTTTGCGACTGCTGAAATGTTTTGAAACACACTCGCGTCATCTTCCAATCTGCTGTTGTATGAGACGGCTGCTGTGGCCCACCTTCCGCGGGGACGATGTAATCGGGCCGTGGAGGTCGAATCTCGGTGCTTATTCCAGGACATCACCGCATAATTGCACAAGCTCCCCCAATCCCATATCTTCTGTACCATTGAAGATGGCCCATTTTAAACTTCTCAGATTGCTTATTCCCCTAAGATTAGGCTAAAAATCGGGTGGGGACCGCCCGACGTCAGACACTAAAATGACTTACTCAAGCTGCGCTATGAGGGCCTTAAAAGGTTGCCTGTCCACGCCCTCTTGACAGCACCCAGGCTTTCATTGCACAACAGTGAACCAAGCTTGCCAAACACTCTTTTCGTGTCCGACTGGTCGTTTTCAACATGTCTGTTCAAGCCTACGACCCCCCGCTTATCAGCACCTTCCACCAGTGCGACCCTGCAGCCCACGTCTGGAAGCATGATCCCAACACTGTATACATCTATGGATCCCACGACTGGAACTCGACCAGGCAGCCCCCGGTGGTCAGTATTCAAGGATTTCTATTATGCGAATGCAGGTTGACAAAGAACAGCAATACGACATGAAGGATTACTATGTGCTTACCCAGACCGATTACACCAAGCCTGCCACAGTCGGACCAAAGGTATACCAATTCTTTAGCTAGAGATTGGAATTTGTAACTGACAGAAAACTAGCTTTTGGACCTTGTGGACATCCCATGGGCGACGCAGCAACTCTGGGCTCCTGATGCGACTGAGAAGGATGGACAATACTACCTGTTCTTCCCAGCCAAGGACAAGGATGATGTCTTCCGCATCGGAGTGGCCAAATCTGACAAGCCGGACGGAAAATTCAAGCCCGAGCCCAACCCGATTGCCGGCACCTACAGCATTGACCCCACAATCTTGGAAGACAATGGCAACTACTACATGGTATGGGGCGGACTGTGGGGTGGCCAGCTTCAAGCATGGACCAACAACGTCTTGGTAAGCCTCCGCCTTTCCGCACAACCCCAGCTGTTGGTAAGCGTGACCAAGCTAATACTAACGCGATTTTCAGAACACATCCCTATTCGGTAACAATGCTCCTACTTCCGGCCCAGCCATCGGACCCCGTTTCGCCAAGCTCTCGGCCAACCTCACCTCTCTCGCCACCACACCAAAGGAACTCGTCATCTACGACCAGGACGGCAAGGTCATGCAGGCAGGCAGCACGCGCCGCTTCTTCGAGGGCCCATCTCTGAACAAGGTCGGCAATCTCTATGTCCTCCAGTACTCCACCGGCACCTCGCACACTGTTGAAATCGCTACCGCTACCAAGCCTGACGGTCCTTACTACTGGAAGAGCACGCTTCTGCAGCCTGTCAAGGGATGGACTACCCACGAGTCGATTGTCAAGTTCAAGAATGACTGGCTTCTTTACTACGCTGATGCCTCGCTTTCTGGCCGTGATGATCTCCGCAACACCAAGGTCAGGAAGGTCTTGTTTGAGAATGGCACCTTCAAGCTTGCTCAGCCTCAGCCTGTCATTCCTAGCTCTTAAGGCTAGACATTGTTTATATTCACTCCTACATATTTCGCTACGGCTTAAGCTGTAATGTACACAGTTTGCTAGTTACTGAAAGCGTTGTTTTCTACACATAGGATTGCCAAGCAATTAGATTGGACAATATATTTGCCAAGATGTGAACCGAGTTCCTGGGATACTACTGCTTTACATGACGTATGTTAAACCATTCCCTTGGTATAGGGCAGACTAAGCTGGTACAACAATGTCTCTGTCCAAAATCAAATCAACTAGGCAACGACTAATCATACTTGGTAAGACACCATGAAGCTGCCTATGAAATCAAATGGCTATAGCTGTGAAGTCGCTCCACGTAGTAAATTCAAGCATGCTTGTATCATTCATCCTACCGATAGCATGGTAACGGTTGCTCTGAATCTGTTGAAGACCCTAGGCTGGTGGATTGGGTAGAGCTTAATGGATCATATGTAGGGGTAGTAGTATGGTAGGTGTCAGAGTACCTAGAGGCAAGAGTGTATAGTAGAGGTATGAGATTACACCAAAAGTAAGCTTACGTTATACCCTACTCATTCACCAACCAGAACGCACCACTAAATACCAAGTCCATAGTGCAGTTCCACGCATCCCTCACATTTCTAGACATGATACACATATGACGAAAAACACACTACTTCACTTTCAAGTCTCGTATATCCATTTAACATGTGTCATCTCAAAACTGAAAAAACATCATGCACAATCACTACGTTCATAAGCTGAAGCATCAAGCAAAACCCCACCCTCATACCCAAGATCATCAACAAATTCCCCAAACACTTCATCGTCTCTCCCTATTCCATCCTGAACCCCAGCCTTCAAACCGTCAAACTCAAACACTTTACGTCTTCTTGTCCCGGCAACTGCTATCCTTGCCCGTCGCGCCCGCAATCTGGCACCACTGCCTCCAAGAACAGTTGTTAAACGTAACTTCCTTTGACTTGTTGGCTTTGCACTCGCGTGCACCATCGGACCCGCGACTCGCATCCGCCATGGAGGCTCTGTCGCCAAACCCGGCGCATACTTGTGCTGTGACGGCGTCGTTGGGGACACCGTTTGAGTCGTAGCAGTGGCAGGATTGGTAGTTGGAGCAGGCGCTGGCTGCGAGGGGGAAGAGAAGGAGGGTGAAGGGTGAGAGTTTCATCTTCGATGCTGAAAGGGCGAGGGGGTTAGTTGGATGTAGTGGTGGAGGGAGGGAGAGGCAGGTCGTACTTTGTGCAGTTCACACTATGTAGATGAGTGCGGTAGTGAGGAGTTTGAAAGTGTTTTGATGCTGATGCTATGATTTGTCTTTAGAGGTAGGAAATAGTTTGATACTTATAGTCTTCTTTGCCACCTTTTTTGCTTCTCCCCCGGATGATTCTCGTGAGCCAAAAGAGTAAGGCAAGACTGCCTTGGAGATAGCCACGTGCACTTGGCACTACTAGTTCAGTGAATACTATAACAGAATCCACTTTGTCGGTTAAAATCAACTGCTTCGCGCTGAACCTCAAACGAGCAGGTCATTTGCAACCACGATACGCCAGCACGGACACAAGTAGAGTGACATGTACAACCACTAACATGCCAAGCATCAGGATAGGCACGACAGCCAAGTCAGGGCCCGTGTACAATCACGTTTGAACCTCGACTCAAGACCCAGAGACACGGATGGGACTAGTAACACCGAACCATTGCAATCATCTCGGTCCGATACAGCAGCGTCAAAGTGGACCGGACCTCCGATTCATTTCCCCCTCTAGCCACAGTCCTTGCACTCGGTAGACTTTCTCCCCCAGACAAAATACTCCATTATTCATCGCACATCATTGGGGGTCAAAGCCTCGTATTCCACAGTCTAGTAACTACGCTCCGACCAAGCAACGCCCACGGCGACCAAAAGCTTGTTTTGCTTCACTTACTCACAAACACACTCACTCACTCACATCTGCACCCATATCGCTATCAAGAATGCTGACATCCCACGGCACTAACCCTCCCCCATCCCGTTCCACAGATTTAAGCTTGGCAAATGGAAAAAAGGGGGCCGTCGACAAAGCAAAATTTCCAAGTCAGAATTCACCAGCTACTAGTATCACAAATACAAAGTGGGCAAGTGCTGTGAACCAGTAGCTGCGAATTTGAAACTAGAAAGGATGGATAAGGATAAGGATAAGTAAGGATAAGTACTACACAATCTAGTCAGTGATGACTGCCGATTGTCGCTCCCCGAGAAAAGGACCCGGCGCAACAACGGTCGCGCACGGCAGAATTTAAAAAAAAAGAAGGAAACTGGGGCAATATTCTGGGGGGCACGTTGGTCGATGCTAAATCATCGGTGGTTTTCGGTCGGACTTGAGGTCTTTGGGGGGGCTCGGTCCGAGTTCGACTTGCTCGGGTTACGTAGCGTTGATTGGTTCGTTACCAGCCAAACAAGATGATGACAATTGCGCCATGGCTGCCCGCTGCAGTGGGTTGCTGTCTTATCGTTTCATGTCAGATTCCATTTTCAACGTCGTTTTTTTTTGCTGAGTTAGTACTGAAGCGAATGTTATGATAATTTGGTGGTTGGGGGTTGGACTTTAGGGCTGAGATGCTTTAGTAGGAAGTAAGTAAGTAAGTTATGCATGGCAGTCTAGTCCTACTAGTTCTTTGCTGGTGGGTACGATGTGTGCGCGAGACCCGCTTTGTTTCGTGTACTAATACGTACTAGAGGGGTATGTATCTAGAAGGTTTTTCAGCGCGCTAGTAGCTTACCTACTTGAGTATAGTGGGGATGTTTTTTACCGTTAGACCAAGATAAGTAGCTATTGCTAGCTCTAGCTCTTAATGTAATATATTTTCTTGGCGGTTGGGAGTCAGTTGATAGCACGTGGATTGTCTTCGTAAAACGGGTAAAGAGGATCCTAGTTGGTGGGGGGATTTAAGCTTCCCGAAACCCACTTTCGAGTCGCTGAGCTACGTGTATAACGCTATTGCTACTGGGTATCGGACCTAAAGGATGGAGTGATGTGCAAGTGGGACCTGTGCCGTTTCTAAGCTAGTATTTCAGTCAGCACTTGTGTATGTAGATGATGGATCTACTTATCCACATACTGCAATTGGGCATGATGCGCATGAACAGTGTAATATGCCTACTGAATTGCTCAGTGTCTGGTGGTCTATCACAATCCACCATCTCAAACTATGTGAAATTTTCAAGCAAAAAAGTGGATAGACGGTTTAGATAAGTTGTGAGTTGCTAGTTGATGTACAGACGTACATAGCAGCATAATGCAGGGCACATTTCGCGATCAACAGATGTCAAGCATGCGGCCATTCCGTTGGTGGAAAACATCATGTGAGGGATGCATATCCCTACACGGGGTATAGAGAACCCCTTCTATAGGCCAACTCAACAAGGTACATGAAAAGCCCTGAGTCAAAGCTCCCCTGGTTCACTGATAGCCTATCCCGAATAGGTTGATTCGTGCTAAACAACCACCGGTGAAATTAATATTCCAATCTGAAAGCAGATAGAACGAATTCGAAGTGCAGCTTGGTATCTTCAGATATCTGTATATAAGGAGTACAAGACGACTTGTAAAGGAGAATCATCACTCACCACGAGATCTAGCCTTCAAAGCACATCTTCGGACTTCAATCCCTCCAAACGCACTCTTCAATCCTTTCTCAAGAATCACTCTTGTTCCACCACTCCTCTCCATCACCATGCGTTTCACCGTCCCCTTGATTGTCATGGCCGCGGCCCTTACCAACGCCGCAGCCGTTCCCGAGGTGAACACCTTGACTCCTGTTGTGCTGACCAGCGTACGAACACACCCTACCCACATCCCTTTCCCAAGATTCCTTTTTCCTAACCCATACAATAGGACGGCATAACCTCCGAGGTCCTCGACCTCTCCGCCTTGACCGACCTCGAGAAGCGCCAGACCCCCTCTGCCAACGCGCAGGTCATTGGCGACCACTCTGGCAGCGCCGGCCAAGCCGTCGGCCGTATCCTCAACGCCATCCTCAACAAGCTCTTCCCGCTCAAGGACTGGAACCCCGCCCGCGAGACCTTCACTAAGCAGACCACCGCCCTCATGTACCAGAACAACCCGGACCGCAACCGCTGGGTCGCCACCGTCTGCTACAACAAGAGCTGGGACGTCAAGGACCGCCGCGCCATCTCCGACGTTGTCAGCATGAAGCTCAGCCTCGGTGCTTTCCACACCGACTACGACTGCATGTACATTGGTCGCCACAACCAGTTTTACACCCAGTCTGATGGTGGTTACATTAACGTTAGTTCCCCTCCGTCTACCACAAACGTCATTGGAAAAAAATGATTACTAACTTTGTGACACAGCTTGCCTTCCAGTACGACAGCAGGTTCTGCAGCTACGATGGAAACACTGCCGATCTTACTTGCAACTAGAGTGGTATGAACTAGGTCGGTTGGTCTGGGATTCTCCGGGGCATTTTGTAACTGAGTGAATGAGCATCTGAGACCGATAGCAATAGTTGCAATGCATTATTTTTATTTTTATTTTTTAACAAAAAAACCCCCCGGTTCCTACTATGCATATCTTTGCAGTTTTTAGCTGCGTATGACGATCAGTCCTTAGAGTAATATTTGTGCATACAGAAATACGACCTAGTTAGCTTTCGGAATCTCAAGTCTTATATCAGCACTTAGAAACCAGTTACTGGTGCGTCTTATAAAGTGCAGGCTTGATTGGATTCGCCACTACGTTACTAACTAAGGCTCACATATTGCCAAGTGGGACACTGCACAGCTTGAGTCATTCGCGCACGGACACGGTACGTTAAAATAAGCCGGCATAAGATGAAAGTAACATTGGAAAACAATGGCAATATATATGTTTGCGTGAAAAAACAACAACAACACATATTAGCAAACTTCTCTACTCGGTTTGTATATCCGCCTCATCAAACCCAACCAACTCCATATATATCTCCGGCTCTTCAATGAGATTTCCCTCTTTGTCAATGCGATTTCCGTCTTTGTCGATAAGATTACCATCCTCATCAATAAGATTTCCATCGCGATCAAGAAATTGGATTGGGGCAGTTCGCAGGAAGCCATCCTTGGGGCCTTTTTCCTTCAATTTCTAAATTTCTTCAATCAGTCTCTCCCTCTCTCTCTCTCTCCAAACTTTTAGGATAAAAACGCCCCATGTGCGTTGCGGTAAGAATACTGTCAAAAGGAAAGAAAAAAGGAACCACTTACATTGCTCCAAAACTTCGAGCTTGGTCTAAATTGTACGCCGCGAAAAGAGATTGCGTATCCACCCGGCTCCTGCTAGTTTTTTTTTCTCCTCAGTACGAATATCACTGTGTAGTGGAACGAAATGTACCCACATCATATACTATGTGTTCGTCAATATCGAACTGAATTTCTCGCGAACCATTGAGCCCGATTTTGCCAATATTTGTCGCTCCGACGTCGAATCCAAGATCGATTTTGTTGCCGGTCTTGTTCCACATGGCAATATCACACTTCTCTGCAACCCATGTGGCCGTGATAATCCAGACGCCAAATTCCGCAATCTGTTGTTTATGCTGAGCAGATAAGCTCTCCATGTTGTCCTTCATCCAGTCGTGAATTATCTTGGGGGCTTTGGTATCAAATGTTTTGTGCACCACGTTTGGTGACACGATGACGCCTGCACCGGCCTTTGCAGTGCTTCCTACTGCGGTATTGGCTCCTACGTCCACAGGTGCTTGAGCAGCGAGTCCGGAAACCTCTGCTTTGACGCCAAAGCCATGGCCCTCGTTTTTTTCTACAACCTTTTTCTTCCATGTGCACACGGTCGGCTCCATCAGATTGAGCTGCTTGGTAGGACGGACGTACCCATTGAGGTCGGATTCACTGAGATCAGTGAGATCAGTAATCGATTCCCACTGTCCGCCTTTGTTGAAGAAGCCGCAAGAGCCTGGATGGAAGATTTTGTCTTTGGGTGGTGTGTACAAGAAAGTGCCTTCAGTGCACTTGCTCATGAGGGTTGCGTATGCTAGATCCATATCGCTGTCGTGGGTGCTTATGAATGTAAAAGACCAGGGGGATGATAGAAATAATGTGATCAAGATTGATTAACTCTGTACCTATTCGACACTACTTATATGGTGGTGCAAGTTGCTTACTACGACGAAAAGAAACCAATTGGTATTAGCTGGCGATCGCTGTCTTCAGATGGTCGTGCCATGCCTCTGGTAGCTGAGTTGATCTCAATAGTCATCGCCGAATAGAAGATACAGTTGCGCCGGTGTGCGTAAGGAAGGGCCACGTAAACGTGTTACTAATTTGATGCTGATAGCTAGTCCCATGTATTATAGGGCATGGCAAGGGAATCGCAGTGCCATTCGTATATACCCTTCAGCTCCAGATACTGCCAATGCAGTATACTGTACCTTTTTGGGCATCTGGTGGCTTGGGTGGAGCTGAGTCAGGCATCGTCACATGCAGATCGTTTTTACGTCAACCAAGTCATAGCTGCCTATGCTTACCAAAACCCTGCATTCCTCATGAATATGTCTAGAGACACAACCCGTCGATTTGTTAGGGAGAGGAGAATTCTACAAATTAGATATTCGAACGTGTGGTAGTCTCACTTTCAAGAAGGATTCCGCTTATGGTATTAAAGATTTTAATTAGTTATCCTAGACCTCTCACTGCTATCCTAGACGAGGGTTTGGTAGTAGCTGTCGATGATGTTATTGTGTCGTCAGAAAGCTGTCATATTCAAGTGAGGCTTTACTGGCGCTCTTCTGATAGCTTATTGGTACCTCTTTAAGCTGACATACCGTACACGTATGCTGGTTATGTACTCTGCTAAGACCCACCGATCGTCCGGCCCGTCTAGCGTCGGCGCCAGGAAGGGAATGACCAAGAAGTTGGCTTGGTTGTCACCCAGTTGGGGTCCCGCACCACGCTGCGCAAGTTGGGGATGGCACATACTCCTTGGTACCCGCTCTCTACACCATGTTGTTTGGCGCAATGTAGTCTACTAATAAGCGGTAAGTGGGAGAGAGGTTCTTGAAGAATGAAATCGCTCGTCCATTCTTAACGGAGTCAATTTTTGGGCCTGCGATCCGAGTAGCAATTCTTTGAAATTCCAGACAAAGATTATAATTGGTCTAAAGCTAGTCGTCTTGAGAATAAGGTCGGTGGGATAGAGTTGGCCACCCCAACTAAGTACCCCACTAATTTAACTTCAAAGCTGACCACCCCCAGAATGCGTCTTCTATGGCCCAATGGCGAGGTTACAATACAATCAGTGATCTGTGATTATCGTGCTAGTGTTTATTTTTCCACAAAAATCCGCCCCTGCCGCGTACGGCGTTCCACGATCGGCGCTTCGGCACCGGCTCGCTGGGCGGCTTCAGCCGCGATAGCTCACCAGCAGCAGCAGTGATTATCGCCAGAACAAGAAATTAGGCTCGTTGGTTAGATTCTACACAAGTATTTCTGCATCCGCCCACCACGTCAGAAGATAATGATCACCGCAGAGCGACGATCATGCGATTGACATCATGCCAAGGCCAGAGCATCAGTGATGCCACGCAGGATATGTGACAACGGGACATCACAGTGGGAAAGTAAAGCCGCTTATGTCAGGCTTGGGCCCTGATGCAGGTAGATTGCGCAGTGATGTAGTTGGATCGTGTAGGCATAAAAGTACTGTCTTATTGCACGCACAGGTCTAAGCTAAGAGTTCTTTGATAACTAGCAATTTCAATGATGAGTAAGTTATCTTATCGAGACATACATAGAGGGAATATAAGGCGCCGCTATCTGCAGCGTGCGTGTATACGACTCGACTTGTAACTAGGAGCGGTTTTACTACGGGCTAAGTGTGATTGGGATGGGATTTTGACTAAGCATCTTGTAAGCAACTGAGTGAATGAGCATCTGAGATTTGCAGTAATAATTGCAATGCATGATTTATGAGAAAATCAGTTCCTACCTTATACTGTGATTGCAGCTTCAAGCTACCATGGAAAAGGCTAGTCGAATGCTCGGGCAGGGAATTTCGCTTGCCATGTCCATTTCTCATCGTGCTTTTGCCATCCAAGAGCTTCCATCCATAGGGCCATGCCCAAAATATCCGATATTATCCCCACCCGACGTTCCAAATGGCGTCGAGCGATCCTAGTGACACTGATTTCGATAACATGCTTATCAACCAGGATTGTATAGCCAATGGCGTTTTGAAAGCAAAACGCGATTTAACCGATGCAGAGTACGCCGAAGGCTGTTGGAAAGCGGCGAGGTCGAAGGATAAAAACCCTGAGAACGTTTGTATGGGCGGCATTTCCCTTGCTCTCTACTTGCCACGCGTCCCGTACTATGCACCCAATCTCTATCTTCGACTGCTTCGCTAGCACCCACCGGCTTTCTGCCGCTATCAGCTGGCTTCTCAGAATCTGCGCCGCTCCTCCAAGACCGCCTCCGTCGTCTGATGCTAACCTTAATCTTGCGCAGCACGGATTGCTGTAACCATTACCGCTGGCAATAATCTCCGAAAGGCTACTAGACATGGAGATGTAGCAGATAGATGCTGTTCTTGATTCTTTTCGACAATTAAGAAGGTTATGTTTCATTAGCGTGCGTTCCTGATTACCCGTTCTTCAAGCACTCCATGTGTGATATCGATCTTGAAGGTAACATGCCTCACTGGAGGCTTTTTCTGGCGGGATGTTGAAATCCCTATGCTGCATACACAGTATGTTTCCGAACCAATTATATTATACAGTTTCAACACACATATATAAGTGAGATGTTTACAAAGGAATCTTGGAATGGCCGACTGTTAAGCACGTCAGTCAGTTGATTATAGTCAAGTCCATCTTTTCCTAATCTTCCTCACAGCACCTCAAATCTTGCACGTGCTCCCTCGAATGCTTGTCAACATATTCAGCTTCACCTTCACATTACCCAGGCTCTGATACTCCTTGGAGCTCATGCCACGCCTAGCGTTGGCAGCGTTCTTGAAACCACTCCGACCAACACCAGCACCTGCCACGTAGCTAAAGATGGTTAGGAACGCGTTTTCGGGGTTCTCCACTAGATCATAAACCACCAAACCCGCCTCACCGACCGTGCCAACGAGACGAAGCATACTTCGGACCGCTGTCAAGCCCACAGAACCAGCGGCATTGCCAGCCACGGGGATAAAGAACAAAATACCCATGATGAAGTTAAGGATCATCTCCTCTCGTTCTTTCTTCTTGAGTTCGTTTGCCTTCTCCACAATCTTCTCCATTGCCTCGATAGCTTCGACGGCCGAGTATACAGGGATAGACGCGGCATCAACTAAGTCGGCCATTTGCATTTGTTCTGAATGTGCGCGTGAAAAGTCAGTGTGTTTGTCACAAGCTTTATGTGGAGGATGTCTTACCATCATAAAGTCCTGCAATCCTCATTATTTTGAATCGATCCAGCGTCTCCTTCGCTGTGTCATAGGAATCGCCAATCACCTTCTTTGGATTGTAGATCTCGATATTATCGCTCGGTCGGGGGTAGTCATACCACCAGTCAGGCGAGTCGTCTATGCAGCCGTTAACGTCCGCCCCGGCATATTGACAGCCATTGCTGATTCGCATGCGCCTTCTTCCAAACGAGACCCACGACTTCTCAATACCCCAAGTCTCTCCGAGATCATTCCAGAAGCCTTCCTCGTCTTTGAAGCTAAATGTGGCGTTAGGGATAGTTTCACCAACATCTAAACCTTTGTCCTCGAACTCCATCTTCGGGCAGGCGATGTCCAAAGTCATACGACCGCTCTTACAATTCTTATCGCCATCAACGCAGGTTAATCTGCAGGTAGGGTATGTGCAGTCCGAGCAGCAATCAGCGTAGCGGGTTTCTTTGCAGTTGAAATACTTGTCGACTTTGTCAGTGGCCATGAAGTTGTTGATTTGCTCCGGTACTTGGTCCTAGCAAGTGCAAAAGCTGGATTAGTCAAAGCCACAAATATTTCAAAGAGGACGTCTCACCCGAGAGTATTTTTCGTAGACCGCAAACTTCTTGTCATAGCCGTTGTCCATCAATTTTTTGTACTTATTTAGAGCGTCTTCATAATTGGAGATCTCTACAGCGAACATATACTGCTCAAGACAATGGGCGGGTAAGATGTCCTTAGCGTCGTCAATCTGGTCCAAGGTAGTGTACTTAGCCGTGCATCCAGACCAGTAATTCCGATCAATGTAGCTCTCGTCGTCGTCGTCGGCGTCACCGCTTCCACTGTGTGATGTTAGCCTGAAGTGGCTCACTCAGCTTGAGAATCAAATGACATACTCGTTGAAAGCCTGCAGGTCCACAGCCCAATCAGTTGTGCCAGCAAAATTGTAGGAGTCGTAAAATTTTGCACGCTCCTCTTTCATGTCATCATCCATCCATGCCACCCACTCAGTGTCGTTATAGACCATAATGTTCGACCCTTCACTCGTCCACTTCTTCTTGACGTTGCCAGACCGGACAATCTCGTTAATCTCTGCGTTAGAGATATAGCCTGCGGTTTCCGTGCAGCGTCCTTTGGCAGCGTTCGATAGTCGTGGTGATCCAGTAAATCTACACTGTTCAGAGTCGCACCCGGACTGAGCCATCTTGAACGATCGGCCATAGCTAGCAACGCCGACTACTACTTTGTTCGACGCTGCGCCTGCCTTAGTAATCATCGAGAGAGCATCCTTAGTTTCGGTCTCGTTTACGTGAGATCTCAAACAGTTTCCTGTGTCGCAACCAGGCGATGTCCACTTATTACCATAGTCCCATTGGCCATGAAGATCGTAGGTCATGTAGACGATGTAGTCTAGGTCCTTGGCCATATTCTTGATAGGAAATGATTTTAGATACCAGTATGATGCTGGTGCTGCGAAGGAAACCGACTTGGAAGAGCCAACAGAAGACTTCAGGCTAGAGAGAAGCCTGTAGTAGTTCAGGCCGTTCACGGGATCGTCTGAAGGGATATCTGGGATATCGGGAGCCTGAATATCATATGTTAGCCCCATTAACCAAGCAGTTATTAAGCACAGGTAGTACTGACGCCTGGATATTCCCAATCAAGGTCAATACCATCAAGATTATGTTCGTTCATGAAAGAAATAAGGTTGTTCTTGAACTTTTCGCGGTTGGCCTAGCGGTCGAGGTACAATGTCAGTGTGCTTCAAAAGAATTTCGCACATAGTGTTCACTCACAGGCTTTGCGGCTTCGCGGAGAATTTGGAAAGTTCCCGGCTCAGTACTGAAGGCCCAGCCACCGAGTGAGACGATCTTCTTCACGCCTGTCATTCCCTTGAAGATTTCGAATTGTTCCAAAACATTGGGATCAGTGATCTCAACCCGGTAGTCACCTCGGGTGACATTCGCAAACGCGAAATGTATATGGGTATAGGTGGACGTATCGATTTTGTCGACGTGCATTGTCAAGCAAGCTGGAGGATCACTTCAGTTAGTGTGTGCTGAATATGACGTTCACATAAGAAGGCTCACGGCGGTTGAAATTCCAGCTCTCATAATATGCCAGCTTTATTTTGCTTGCCGGGGCTGAACCCTTGATGATGTCTCTGCCGCAGTTGCTGATGCCTACGTCCCAATTAGTTATTGAAAGGTGATATAGCGGCGAGTAGGGGAATCTCTGCCAAGGATATCCACGCAAAGATATTGCAAACGTCGGAGGCACAGATGCTCCGCCATAGATGGAGGGCACTTACAGCCGTTCTTGCCAGGGGCAGAAGTTCCGGGAGCACCCGTCTCGGACTTGGAGATGACGCAAAAGTCGTCAGTCATACCGCACTGGCCCCAAATGTTACAGCAAACGTTGAGTAGGCAGGGGTTGAGGGTAGCAAGGTCTGTTCCAGCAGGAGGTTGGGTTGTGCCATTCATCTTGTTTCGTTAGTCTTTGTGCTCTAAATTCAGCAAACGAGAATGGGTTCTTACCGTTGGTCCACACACGGCGTTCTAGAAAAGCGAGGTTGTCAGTCATGGTGCTCTCATCTCGATGTAATAGTAGAATGGAGGGATGAATAAATACCGGAACGTTGGCAGGCATGGGAGGGCTGCCCTCGCTGATACACATTTTGAAGTCTGGGAAGAGACGGTCGCACCCGTTTCAGCCCCATGTCTTCTTGTTGAAACTCTCAAGCTCAGCCACCGTGATATCACGGGAGACGGCGATCTTGGAGCAATAGTCGTCCTTCTTCGTCGTGTACACGGCGCAATTGCCATTTGCATCCTTCCTTGGTTTTATATCTGGGTATTTACCATTAGAGCAGCAGACCTTTTGACCTTCAATTAATTTTGAGCAGAGATCAGTTTTGGTGTTCGCCTTCATGAAGTCTGCTGAGCTGATGCCGCACTTTGAAGCAAGGGAGCCGCAGCTATCGCCACTAACCACGTCTATCGTTTTGCAGGTGCCATCTGAATTGCCGGCAGGCAAAGTGCTTGGCAGAGTTCCCGTGCTACAGCAGACCTTTTCATCCTTTATAAGTGTGTTGCAGAGATTCTGGCGGTTGAACTTTTGGAGATCGGCCTGGCTTATCCCGCACCGACCTGCGACTGCGAAACAGCCATCGCCAGACTGAACGGTGGTTGTCCTGCAATCAGCCCTGATGCTAAGACGTGATCTAGATTCCATGCGTGCAACTATAGTATTGTTCGCTGCAGTTGTGGTATTAGTACTGTTTGAGGTGCCAGTGACAGGACCGGGGACTCGGAGGTTGACATTCATCCACTCCTCGCCCGCGGTGGCTGGTACGCAAGCTCCGCTGGCCCAGGTCCTAACAACTTCCTGAACAAAGGCAAGATTCTTTGCACTTGTTGCAACGATTCCCAAACTATAATCTGCGCCACGGCCATCGGATCCACATAGCTAATCAGCCCATGTCAGTAACAGTACGGCGGCGACTCAGTGCATCAGCACCTACCTGTACTACGGTAGTCTTTGATATGGCTTTATCTTGTGCGTATTGAAGAAGGTGCTCAAGAACGATCTTAGTGATGCCGTGCTGATGGACTTCAGCTCCAGCAAAGAGACCAATGCTTGACGACTGAGAGTATGCAAACTCCATTGCATTGTTGGTACAGGAAGGCTCCTGTAATTTGATGTGATTGGCGATTTGGCGGCCAGCCGAAAGGAGATGGTTCACAGAGAACTCGTCAGCTCCTACTTGGGGTTGGTGTAGGTAAATGGAGTTCTGTTCCAAAACACGGTTGGCAGTCGTGCAAAGAGACGCCTTCCCTTCCTCGGCTACAAATGCAGCTTTGAGGCCGGAGTCGTAGTCGGCTGAGCAAGCCCTAACAACTGTCTGTGCGGCATCGTCATTGATGGCTGATTTGACGACCATATCGAGTAGCATGGTCTCGTTGCACAGTGCTAGCTTCGTGGCATCGGGAAACAAGAACCATTCGGCTCTCGAGGTCACTGTGTGAAGTGAGCACGACGTCACCAGAGTTTTGAAGTGAACCTACAGTTTTTGTTGCTCGCCGTGCTACAGGAGGAAGGGCAAGCCTTAAGAGCCTCTGCTGATACTCGTTGTGCTGCTGCCAGCCATTCATCGAGGTCGTCACCAGCATCTTGAGCTCGAATGGCGACACGATCATCAGATGGGATGGCCAATACACCTACACTCAGCCGGGCGACCAGAACGAAAGAGTGGAAGAAAGCCCTCATGGTGGCAAAGGAAAGCAAAAAGAGTGTTGAGAACGAGTGAAAGGTGCTCCTGCACTGAAGAGCGCAACTGCAAGGAATGCAGAAAAGCGCGGATTTTGAATCCAGATAAGTTTCTCTGGACCTTGATGCTCACGTGCATCGTACGCTGAAGAGCTCGACACAGTGCATACTACCCATGTGGATTTAGCTCTCCAGGGACAATAGTTGCGCACGGAAGAATTCTTTTGAAGGCCTAGAGCCATGCATCTAATTTGAGCCGCGAGATCCTTTGAATAGCCAGGCACGGGATGTAAACCACAGTCTGCCTCGGAACTCATACCCTGGGATGTTAACATGTGTGGTTGCGATTGATTGTGAGTAGAGTGTAGGAACCTTAGACCGTTTCGGGCAGGGGTGCCGGCGATAGCTGCCAAGGTACGCTACCGTAGCCGTAGATGCAGGGGCAGTTGGACCCTGCGGCATCGTCCTCGGCCCTGTGCTCAGCTAGTGTGCGGCGTAGTCCTGCAAGACCGGCCAAGACGCGACGGACGACCAAGCACGAAAACATTATTAAATTTGTGCAAGATACCCCGGTATTATATCGGCTCTTCTTCAAGAATCCTTCTGCAGCACTGTTCCGCTCCGTGCATATGGTAGCTACAAGGTGAGTGGGCAGTGGCGTGCATCCTAGTTGGAGATTCAGCTAATCAAGCAGCCCAGATACAACCTCAATACATGACTTTAATCCTTCTGCTTATGTTCAAGCATGCTAACCATTCTTGACACATCCCATACGCTCCGGGGCTTCGACGGTCGGGTCTAGATCCGGTCAACGCTTCGGCAGATATGGCGGATGGTGGTTAGGATGAGCAAGTCATCGGGCTATCTAAATTGGGCTTGTTCAAGGCTTTCGATTAGCAAGACTTGGAAAAGGATGCATGGCACTGTTTGAATCCTGGTAAACTTCATGTATCTAGATTCTAGACAAGCGAGGCTGTCCACCTGCGTGTATACCTAAGTGTCCTCCTCCATCACCGGGACATCCATCTTCAGTCATTCGTTCGGTATTATCTTTACTCCAGTCGTTACTGCTCTACAGCACCACAAAATGAGGAACTCTCTTCTTTGCACTCTTTTCTCCCTCTTCGTAGCCGCATGGGCTGGCGGATATCAAGGCTGCCTCGAACGCGTGTGGTTGTATCAAGCCTACTTGATCGATAGTCTCAACGACTACGATGATCAAACAATCGGTTGGCGGTGCAGAGACAAAAATGTCAGTAAGAACACAAAGACATGTGCCAATTGGGTTAGGATGGTACGTCGCATCTGCATGAGTATACAACCCGATCAGACTGACTTATTCGGTACACCAAAAACTAGGAAGGAAGCAAGAGAGGTTCGACTTTGTCCTATGATCAATTCGTATTCGCTCTAGGTAAGACGGGATTGCGTACAGGATGGTCCGTAATGTCAGGAGGCGAGCTTGATGCAGAAGCGACAGCTTTGAAGACATACAACCAATACCTCACGCCAGCGCCTGGTCAGGCTGCGGGTGCCGCCAAGGTCAAAAACTTTGGTGCGTGGTTAGCCGTTAAGGACACTTTCGAGTGGAATGCGTGCATCATGAAAGTTGGTCAAGTGTAAGCAATTCCTTTTCAATAAGGTGTAAGGCAATCACTAACTTTACATGTCAATGTTTAGTGTAGACGATACGTACAGAGCTAGATCATCTGGCATGGATGATGCTACGAAGAAGTTGTTCAAGAATTTTGGTGCGTCACATCCGCACCATTGTGCACCGACACTACATACTGATATGCCACGAATGACTAGATGCCACAAGAGACCTGATCATCAAGGCGCGTAAAGGTGACCATGGTCGTTTCCTCATCGATAGATCCCGGCAGGATCTGCCAGGGATGAAAATCATCCTCGAACCCTTGGGTGCGTAGGACACCAATTTCTATGAGAGACAACAGCTAACAACCCATACTAATCTCTAGGCGATAATCCGGTACGTAACTGTGATCCTGGATAGACTCACAGTGCTTTGTCATGGAAATATCTCGGCTCTTTTTGCTTACTAGATTGTATTTAGGTTGACCCTAAAAAAGAATGGGAAACCGTTAATTGGACGGCGACCGAAAAAATGGCTCGCGAGGCAGGTGACATGGATGCAGGCAATAAAATCGCAACTTTCTTGTACGACTTCTATGAGAGCAGCGCCAATAGTAACAAAGACGCTAGAGAGCACAAGCAGGTAATCGACTCTTTCAAGCAGATCCAAAGTCAACAGCTTGCCTGCGGTCGATAGTTGGAGCCATCGTTGGATCTTGACGAAGATCTTTAGGAATCAGGTTTGGGTCACGGTATCATCAGATAGTTTTGGAGTAATCAACAGTTTTTCATTGGTAGCATTGATTCAGCTTGAAAACTCGTCGTCAGTGTCAAATGCTTCGCCGGTGGCTTCTATCCGCATGGCCATCAGGATCTGTCTACATATGGTTTCCAATTCCAAGCCACGCGCAACTCGACCATCCAATGCGTCAATGAACAGCAGCTTGTCTTCAGTGCAGGGCCAGGGATGCTCATGTGTAGCGTCACCCCACATCCAGAAGCCGTCTGCGCAGACTATATGAATCTCCTCCACATTCACAAACATGCTGAGTTCATTTGATTCGGTATGGTAGAAGGCCTCATTCCCGTTCTCTCGGCTGAACTTGAGACGCTTAATTGCTGATGCGATCGATTTGTACCAGCGGAAATCAGAAGTCCCGATATCCATTATATCAATGTCGAGATCCATCCAAACATAACGCTGTTCAGTTTTGGAAGATTCTGCTTCTTCCCCCTGCTCGTCAGGCGTGAAGAATCTCTCGATGCCGATCTCGGGCGGAATGTTGTTATTGGGTCTTGTTACTGCAGCAACCTCAAAGAAGACTTTCTTGTAAAGTCCAAGGTTTCGGGCTTCCCGGCAGGACTGTAGTATGGCTGGTATAGGCGTAGACGATACCAGCCGGCCATAGTGTTGAGGCCACGCTTGAAAACGACGGACATCGACAGTGCGTGGTTCGACAGTGTCCTTCCAGATTTGCTCTCGGAGCTCCAAAGGAAGCCGCGGAAACGGATGAAAAGTGGTCATGGTGTATGTAGAATGGCGACCAAGTATGCTAGCACTACAGCTAGTAGGCAGGGGAGTAGGCAGCAAAGGGGCCGATATGCTGTAAGAAACAGGTAAAGAAGGCCGTCACACCGAGGGATGTGTTTGATGCTAAGCGCTCCGCGTTTAGCCTTACACTACGGAAAAATACAAATCAGATACGGTGTGGCGACAGTTTGGCTGACAGAATTTTCGAACGTTTAGGCTCAATTTTAAATCACCTGTTTCTGTACCAAGACGGATACAAGTACAAATGCAAGTGCGGGTGAGCAGGGGCCAGGATACTGTTAACCCACACTTCTCGCGTGAACGCAAACGGGCCGAGGCCGGGGTGGCTACAACATGGGGCGACTTTTGCACGTGCACAAGGGCGTCTCTACAGTAGCGCGCGCTTCCTTCAACCGAGATGAGCAAAGCAGAAAAGCCACCTCGAGATACTTAGCGACACCTTCCAAATTGGTCGATAAATCCGAACAAAGAACTTGCATCTGTCAGAAACCCTGTAGCTATGAGTCTTACTGTACATAGGTAGATGGCCAAGCCGAAGGACGTTCCATGTCACCTTCCAACGCTCGGCTGTCCCGTGGTCTAGAACTTAGCATCAGTAGCCCAAGGGACTCGGGACGAGTAAACAAATTGTTTTATGGGCAAGAACCCGGGGTTATCCCCTTCTTTCTAACTTCACAGAGAGTGCCGTAGACTTCTCTCTGACATATTTCTTAACCCCAAAGACATCTTCCTTGAACTTTATCCTTTAGCAAGCTTGCATCATGAGGACTTCTTTGGCATTGCTGTTTACAGCGCTTGCTCAGCGAGCCGTCTCCACACGCAGTCCACTCCTTCAATGGGACCCCGATACGGTCAAGGACTGTGTGGAATGGTACAATAACGGCGAAGGCAAGACTTGCGAATACGTGCTCGAGATCTACAACAGTAAGCTCCCTTCAGATAGCTAATAACTCACTAGTACTGATCCTGTACCTTACTACTTAGTCACTCCAGCAGAGTTCTATGAATGGAACCCTTCAGTCGGCCCTGATTGCAAGGTCTGGCGTCGGCAATCCTATTGCCTCATCACTAAAAGAAAACTGGACGCCTTGAAACCAACGACAACTTCCTCCGAGGTGACCTCCACCACCACTACGAGCACAACTTCTTCTTCTCTCGCGCCTTCCCCTACCGCCTGGAAAGCCTTGGGATGCTACGCTCAGAATCCGACCCACCCACTCCTCCAGCTGAATACGAATGCAAACGGGGATGCATCCCTGACTATTCCTAAGTGCAAGCAAAGCTGCTACCGCCGCGCCTTTAACTTCGTAGGTGTGCAGGAAGGCAATCAGTGTTTGTGCGGCAACTACGTAAACGGCGAGTGGACAAAGAATCAGACTGACTGCAACATTCCTTGTACTGGCAACAAGGCGGACATGTGTGGAGGCAAGGGCGTTGTCAACGTTTTTGAGGCATTGGAGAACGCTACACCAGCCACCACTACCGCTAAGAGCGCGAGTGTCCAGGCCGCTACGGCGAGCAATGGGGCCATAAAGAACAGGGCTCTCTTTGGAATGGGCTTTTAGGCTCACGCTGTATTGGTGGGTGTTCTCAATTGGTGTAGATATACTTATAACATGATGTTCGACGATTGCTTGTAAAGATTTAGAATGACTGAGTGCTTATATCCTTGCTATAACATGTACCAAAGAGCATGCATCAATGAAATCAGACTCCGTCTCCCTACAGATAGCCCTCATGGCCTTCTTCGTAAAAGCGGAAACTGCAATTACGATCTTTTCCCCACGGTACAATACTAAGCAAAACACTCGCATTGCAAACTTTTACGTTCCTCGCCCTCTACACTCCTAACTGCGCTGCCTAGATTCTCCCTTATTATTGGACAAGTCCCGCCAGATGACCTTGTATTCCTTGGCGTTAAGAAAGCGGACTTGCTTGGCATCAGTATAAAAAGCTTGGACGATGAATGTCGAAAAGACTGAAGTCCGTGCAGTCGAGGGAACCATCTTGCAGCCTAAAATGAGGGGCAAATACACTAAGCTTGATCTGGATGTCTGCTATCGTGCGGCTCATTTAATGTTAGTGTGTATATACTTACACCCCGAGGTTCACAGCACGGCCCTTCACACGGGTGCTGCCTAGTGCCGGCTACGAGCGAAACAGACAGGGTTGTCGCGCGAAAGCACGCGGAGTCCATGCAGGATTTTAGTTTGCAAAGAGATGCTTGCGTTTAGATCACCCTGTAATTCGTGTTCATTTCCGTCCTAGATGGCGATAGGCAGTAAGTAGTCTCGACTGCTAGCTCTACTTACTACCGGCAAAATGCAAGGCCCCGGGGTCAAAGCTTTCCCAGGGTCTTTCACCACACTATCGAACTGTGCCTCAATCCTGCAGTACAGAAACTTCACCTCCAACAGTGGTTCATTTTATTATGCATAGACTCAGCCTAGACCAAGATTATGACTGGTATGCTAGGGGGCTAGGAAATAAAATTATACGTGCGACACGATGTTACTATGATGCCAACAGATTAAGTGTTCCCAATGGAGCCGCAACGCCGTCGCCTGTAACAACCGCAAAGGATCCCTGTATAAACATCTTCACGGCACGGCACCATCAAACTCGCATGTACGATGCTGACTCGAGATGTGCTTCAATATGTCTATCACAAGCAATAGTTACTCGGTTGGCGAGAGTTCAAGCGAGGCGCAAAGAGTAGTGGCCTGAGAATGATACCTGCATAGGTCCTCCATGACCCTGCTGACAGACAAATCCAGATCCGGTCGAACGATCCGTATAGTGTGTAAGGCAAGAGATCAGTTCACTTCCGTGTAGTGATTATACACACTAGTTCAAGGCTGCCAAACTTGGACTCAACCTCGGCGGCACACATTCATCCAGCTTATGCCTTTAGCAAGACATGCTTCGGTTGCATATAAGAAGATGAGTGTATGCTGAAGAACAATCTCCAGGCATTCATTCGTTTTCCTCTGCCCACTCCTGCACTCGCAGCCATGTTGTCTTCAACTGCCTGTCTACTCTTGATCGGCGGCTTCTTCCAGGGAGCCGTGTCAGCAGCCCGCATCTTGCCTCGTGATGGACCGACTCCAGCGTTGCCTTATGCGGATGACACCACCAAGTACTGCATTTGGTGGCTCGACTATGAGTCTGGCGGGTCCTGTGCGGATATGCTTGAGGCCAACTTGATCAGCCTTGATGAGTTTCGTCGATGGGTAGGAACTCCGCAGCTTCTCTGTACTTACGACCGCGCTGACAAGACATATAGAACCCTTCTGTAAACGCGGACTGTGGCAACCTGGTTGTCGGAAAGTCGTACTGCATTGAGACCGCCGATGAGCCGGTAGCCTCTGATCCGGCTCCGGCTCCGGCTTCGAGCTCTACTTCATCTGTACGGTCGTCAGCTGTGCCCACGCCCTCGACATTCACAACCTCGTCGGTGCCTGTGGTCACAAGCTCTGCAAGCAGGTCAACGCCACCATCAACGACCACGACCACCAGCGCCGGAAATGGAGTGGAAACTCCTCAGCCCACCCAGCCTGGCATGGTAAGATATACATGTACGAGATTCATGTAAGACATGCACTAATTTTGTACCTACGAATCTGTCAGGTTTCAAACTGCAACAAATTCCACTACATCGACCAGAACACTGTTTGTAGCCAAGTGCTTAGCTACCAGAAGATCTCGGTTGCAGACCTCTTCAGGTGGAATCCATCGGTCAACGCGGATTGTACCGGACTGCAGAAGTTGGTAAATGTCTGCGTCGGTGTCATCGGCGGCTCCACGCCAACGCCTAGTACTACTACACCTACGCCTACTCCCACCGCCACCAAGGGTAACAACGGCGTAGAGACCCCTCTACCCACCCAACCAGGCATGGTTTCCAATTGTGCCGTCTTCCATTACATTGGCCCCAACACGGTCTGTAGCCAGGTCCTCAGCTACCAGAAGATTTCAATGGAGGATCTCTACCGATGGAATCCCTCGGTCAACGCCGATTGCACAGGCCTGCAGAAACTAGTCAACGTATGCGTCCGCGTCATTGGCGCCACAACGACTACCCCTAAGCCCAGCACCATCACCACCGCAGGAAATGGAATTCAAACGCCTCAGCCGACGCAACCAGGCATGGTAAGAGTTCCATGTACAAAACCTCATGCAAGACATGTACTGATTTGACCCACTACTAGGTCGCAAACTGCAACAAGTTCCACTTCATCAACCAGGGTGTAGTATGCAGCCAAGTGATCAGCTACCAGAAAATCACCCGCGAAGATTTCGTCAAATGGAACCCCACCGTCAACGACGATTGCTCCGGCATGTGGGCCAATGTCAATGTGTGCGTTGGCGTCATCGGAGGAGGTGCATCGTCGCCGACACCTACTACTACCACGAGCCCGGCCAACGGCATTCAGACACCGCAGCCCACACAACCTGGCATGACTTTGAATTGCAAAAAGTTTCACTATGCCGCCGAGGGCGTCGTCTGCAGTCAGCTTACCAGCTACAACAAAATCAGCCTGGCTGACTTTGTAAAGTGGAACCCGGGTGTTGGAAGCGACTGCAGGACAATGTGGGCAAACACTTATTTCTGTGTCGGTGTTTGATAGAGAGATGGAGATTTTCGTTGGTTTGTGCGCGCGCGCGCGGAACAGGAATGTTTGTTTCATGCACGTGATTAGATAATGTTTATATGAATAATCTTCATGATTGCGTTTATAAATCGATTTTGGAAAGTAAACAGGTGTATATACCTTTTTTTTAAAAAAATTTAACTGACATCTCAAATAGTATAACCCGCTTTTGTTGCAATCTGCTTGAGGTATTTGACGATGGGATATGACTGCAACATCCCTTCCTTTCAAAAAACCCCCCCCCCTAGGTTTAGAACAGCTTTTTCTTGTTTACGAATAGGAATAATAGTAGTAATTGGACGATAATGCTGAGGGAAGAAAAAAAAATACATTTATTTTCTATGTATACACAAAGAGTATGTGCATGTCTAAGTGTACTTAGGGTATCAAACTCCCCAGAGCGCCTGCACATTATCTGTCCGTCTTAATCACTCTTTGAACCTCATTTCTATCCTATCTAGTGATTCCTCCACCACAATGTCTTGACTGTTTGACTCAAAAGAGCAGATCTGCATACTCGCCCAGTACGCCTTCTTTACCGCCATCGAAGAAATCATGCAGGCCGTCCATGGCGGCAAATTTGCTTGCAATTTCCAGCCCGCGTAGTCGCTCCGCCTCGATGATGTCCCAGTTCCATTCGTCTGGCTGGACGACCCTGGGTAAGCTAGTTTCGTTTTGCTCGTTTTGCTCGGGCACGGGACCGTGGTATTCCCATCCCTCTGGTTTCAATGGGACCATTTCGGAGTCAACGAGGGCCTGCTCTGGCGGGACTGTGATCCTGCCACGCTTAATGACGTACTTGGCAAGTGCAGTCGCGTAAACTGCGCCTTTCAACTTTTCCGGATCAACGTTTGCAGAACGGGTCTTTGACTTTTTCCAAGGCTGCAGTGTCCAGCTCTCTGGCTGGGCTACGCCGGGCTTGACGAGATGAGTTACGAGGTAGAACCACTTCCTATCCCAGCAGAGTAGTCTGGTCCACATTTCAAACTTTTGATAAGGCGGAATCTCCCTCTTGAATAGACAACTTATCCCGCCTAGCGCGATGATATGCCTGCCTGGTGTACCCTCTGTGGCTCCCATAGCTCCAGCCACTTTGGCGCCAGACCGGCGACTCTGTTTTCGGATGGCGTTACGCATCAACGCGGTGAAGAGGTGGGTACGTGAAACGTCCATGTCGCTGAAGTAGGTACTGTTGGACTTGTGCAAGTTGTAATCTGTTTCGACGAGGGTGGTCCGAGTCGAGGAGATCATGGGTTGAAACAGGGCATGAGGAGGAATGGGCGTAGGCTGGACGTAAATGTGGTAAAGCATGGCGCGAAAGACACGTATCTAGGTACCTGATCAGTTTGCTGGCTCGCATCTCGTATCGGGTAAAAGTAGTCATACATGCCAGACAAAGGGCAGGTTCTTCAAGTTGGCCGCGGCAAGAAGAATCGCAGCTATCCTCCACAAACCACCAGGCGCATTATAGCCTGTCCAGCGAGCCAGCGCAACCAGCAGGCCGTCTCTCCATGCCGGTTGCGCCACGAGGGCTGCCATGGACGCACCTGCAACGACAACGCCAGTCGTTTGCACCATGGTTACCATGCCAGGTTTGACCGACGAAAACCCAAGAAACAAAGATGACAGCAAAGAAAACACGGATTTCGATTCGAGTGCAGGGACGTTGGTCGGATGGAGTGCAGCACATCCACCCTAATCGAATTGTCACGTTTCTAATCACAAGCCTCGGCTCGGAGTTTAGTAAAGTCCCGACCATCCATGCTCTCGCATCAACGTCCAAGGGAAATCAATGATTAATTATAACGCAATCCACCAAAAAAGTCCGATCGCTCGGCCACGTGTGGGGCAGGATTAATGCCGGAGCTCGTTTACTAATGCTCGTTTTTGGAAGTATTACTTTTTCTTGCCCTTGGTCTTGTCTACCACGTCGACCCAATTCTTGTTAACACCTCGCTTCTCCAACGCCTTGATGATGGCATCCTTTTGCGGGCCTTGGACCATAACCTCCATGATGGGAGCTTTTGGACTGGAACCTTGCAGCTTGTCGATGCTCGTGCTGCCTGCACACGTTTTTCTCAGTTCGTCGGCTAGAGGCTGATGGGAGATATAGTAAGGTTCCAGGCCATGAACCTTTGTGACTGTTTTGTTGCCACTACGTGTCTCGAGGATGATTTGAATCTTGGGTGGAGCGCCCGCTTTGGGCTTCGTGTCTGCAATGCTGGCATCGTTGCGAAGAATTGCGTGGAAGGGAGAGGCGGCCGCAAGCATGCGTTCTGCCAGAGCGTCTCTAGGCATGGCCCCTGATGAGAGCGCTGCGTTGTCGGCTGCCGACGAGCCCAGGAGTGCATCTGCTAGCTGGGGATTTATGCGAACAAGACGCTTGTTCTTTTGATCAATGAGGTTCTCAGCCTCGACATATGCCAATAGGATCTGCTTGAGCTCGGCCGGCGTGTAAAGACCTCGGGGGTCCGCTTTAGAAGCAGCCAGGATAGGGGCTAATTTCTCCTTGGGTCGGAGTACTGAAACAAGCTTTAGTTTCTGGCCGAGTGACGGGTCGGCGGATAGTGGTGGGGCAGCCTTATCGCTTGTACTCGTGGCAGTCGGGCCGTCCTTCTTGGGTAATCTGTATGGGACAAACGACTCCAACTGGCGGTCTTTGAAATCAATATCGAGAACAACAACCTCGTTTCCGTCACGATCCTTGGACTTGATGATGAGCTGCTTGTCGAGGTACTTGAGGAACTTTCGCAGATTCTTCCAGCTTGTCTTTTTGATCTGCAAAGAAGCGGTTCGCGCAGGAGTGTAAGTGGGGAGAAAGGGCTGGACGAGTTGCGACATGACATGCGACTGAGACAGAGGGAATTCAAGTCCGTAGGTCGGGTGTTGTTTGTTGTGGTCCATGTGGTAGCGCACTCCGAACAGAAAGGCGTTTTTGAAGGCATCGTCGATTTCTGGACATGGTTAGCTGTTGGGTGTGGGGCGTGAATGCAGCAAAGGTACCTTTGGTCGTCAGCTCCTTGTCCTCGAGCGTGTCGATGAAATCAGGGTTCGAGGGTGCGTCTTCGCCCTGGATAGCGTCGAGGGTTTCGGGCGGAGAAGGGTCGGCGGGGGTGGTCCCGAGTGGGACGCCGCCGTCTTGATCATCGTCGCCGTCAAGATGGATGGCGGCAGTGCGGTCCGCGAGGGATGCGTCGGGGGATGTGTCGCTGTCCCAGCCGTCAATGGTGTCTGGGGGGTCGCGGCCCGGCTTGCCTGCTGCACTCCAGGACCACAACTCGTCACCTGCCCAATGGATCGTGGATACGGCATGGCCCTTTGTACCTTGAGTGCTTCCTAGAGCACTGACATCGACGATGCACTCGCCCACGGCCATGGGCACGGATGGAGCCTCGAGGCTGGCAATGGCAACAATAGCGCCTTTGGTAGCATTCTTGGGGAAGGGAGGGCCGCGCTGGAGGCCGGGCGTCATCAAGTCGGCGCCCTGCTTGAGCTTGTCGACGACGAAGAGCGGGGTGTGCAGCAGGGGAACGATGGCGGGGTTGTGCCAGAGCGTGTAGACGGTGGGGTAGAGGCGGTCGCGCAGCTTGAGCCAGAGGACGCGTTGGTCGCCGTCATCGTGGGCGCCGACATAGAGAGTGCCCGTGACGGTGCTGAGGTCTGGGCCGGCCGTGGTGGTGAAGCGGGCAGACTGGGCATTGTCGGGCAGTATGGAGCGTCGCAGGGCGGTGAGAGCGGCGGCATCGTCAGTGGGCGTGTCTATGGCAAAGTCTGCGATGATCTGGTCCGCTGTCCTGCGCCGGTCGCTCGACTTGAGCGGGGCGAGGGGCTTGATCTGGGCGTTGTCAATATGTGTGTGTGTGTATGTGTGTGTGTGTGTATGTGTGTGTGTGTGTGTACAAGGAGTGCAGGGCGACACTTGCATTGGGTTTCTTCTTGAACATGCTCAATTAGTGGCCGTGTAATGTGCGGGCGACGAGGGACGGCGACATGAGTGCGTATGGGTATGTGTGTGTGTGTGTGCGTGTGGGTGGCGGGGCACGCCTGCACTGAGCGATGACGCTGCGCGGGCTGCTGCTCGCCCAGGACAAACGACGCAGGGGCAATCGACTATGCATATGCAGATACGTTGAGCGAGTGCTTGTGTGTGGCCTGGCCTGGTAACAAAAAAAGAAAAAGAAAAAGAAACACCAAGGGCGGCCCCTATACAAGCAACGAGGCCCCCCAAAATGAAGGTTGAGGAAGCAATGCCCATGCCGGCCATGGCCCAATCCTGCCCTCTCCCCGCATCCCAGCAGACTGGCCAGGCCGCCGCCGTTGGCACCGAACCCATGTCGCCCATCCGCCGTGCGCCCCAAGCTGCCATGTATATGTGTGTGTGTGTTATCTTTGTATCGAGTAGGTTAGTAGGCCTGTGTAGTCTACAAAAGGTACGTACAACAGGTACCACCACACCCATGTAGATGCGCTACCTGTGCCTGCACCCCTCGACGCACCGTCGCCCCTGTGCCTGTCTGTGCCTGTGCTGCAACTCGACACGTCCACAGACTCGCTCCAACACATCGACACACACACACACGCCCTTCGCCTCCGTCAGCACTGGCTCCGGCACCGAGTAAGATCACATCACGGCCAAAAACTCTGCACGCGAAGGCCCGCCCAGCCAACCCAGCCAGCCCACAGCACTAGCCCACTATGCGCTCTCGGCCCCGGAGCCTCTGTGCCGTCCATCCTCCCCAACTGTCCATGGAATCATGCGGAGAAGCGGCGCCACAACAAGGCCAACCTGCGCCTGTTTGCTCCTGTGCTCCCTGACTCCCGACCGTCCTCATAACCCCCCGACACCCTCGCCCGCTGTCGACTCGCCCTCTCCGCCTCAGCCATGGTAAAAGTGTTGAGCCCCATCTGTGAAGCCCTACGCCGCGTGACATCACTGCTCTCTTCCTCGGCTTCCGCCTCGGCTTCCCGCCTCCAGGATTGAAATTTTTACCCCAACACCATGAGCCCTCTTCCAGACATGGGCTGGCAGGAGAATCACGTCGTCCCAAAGCCCACCGACCGCGAGGAGCTCGTCCTCGAGGCCTGGGCCCAGGGCTACCTCGTCGGCTCCCTCATCATCATGGCCTTCATCACCCTCGCAAACATGCGCAGAGGCGTCTTGTTGCACAAGGTCAGTCCACCACACTAACAAACTTGCGCCCCCCAAACACTTCCCGCCATTTACTAACATTTACCTCCAGTTAATTCTCCTCGAAGTAAGTCGTCTTCATCTCTCTTGATCCTGCCTTCCATTTTATCACAAGGCGCCCCACTGACCAATTACCCACTCAGCTCATTCTCGGCTTATGGCAAGGCTTCTGGTTATTCTTCCCCACCCCTGTCCACGCCTGGTGGCTCTCCGTCGCCGCCATCTTCCTTAATGCTTCATGGTCGCTGCATAATGTCATTGCCTGGATGAAGATCAAGCCCTTTTTCTCAAAACCCACCAGCTACATCTTCATCGGCACCATCATCCTGGCCCAGCCATACTGGATCCTCGAGATTTACGCAAACTTTGCCTACTTCCACGGCGTCAACAGGCTCTTTCTCAGCACCAGGCCCTACGAGGCTCTCTGCCGCGATCCATGGTGGATCTTGACCACCGTCTACCTCTTCTGGGTCATCAAGACCCAGTATGAGCTCAGCATCAAGGAAATCATACGCATCTCTCCGCGCTTCGGCATCATGCTATTCTCCATGGTTCTCAGCATCATCTTCATCATAATGGATATCCTGTCTGTCACCGGCGCGCTTTCTCTCCCAGGCCCTACGGGTATCAATCCTTTCTGGAAATTCGCCTTTGTCTTCAAGTGCTTGACCGACTCGGTTGTTCTCGACGATTTCAAGGTCGCCCTGGACCGTCTCCGCGCTTTCCGAATTAGCCGATTAGGCAGCTTCTCTGGAGACATGAGCGACAGCCGCAGCCGCAACGGCAACAACCTCGTCGCTACCTGGGAAGAGATGGAGAGAGAGGCCAACGCTCTACAAAATGTTCGCAGTCCCGATGGCGACTATATCCATCCTAGCAATTTCCCCTTCAAGCCCAAACGCGCTCGCAGACCGCACAAAGACTCGGTCATGTTTCCAAACCAACCAGACTATCGCGACTGCAACGCCGGCCTAGACCCCGAGGACATTGTACCTAGTGCGCTAGTCGATGAGCCTGCAGGGCCGCTAGACAATGGACATCCCGGGAGCAAGAAACAGCATCACTTCATCGACGACATGTATGGCCCTGATGAAAGACACAGGGTCGCCGAGAATGACTACGCAGAAGCAATGAGAGATATGCACCGCGATAGTCTGCTGACACCCGCGCCAGCCCCTGAGTCTCCGCGGAAATTTGGGCCTCACGGTTGATGGAGGTGCAAAATTGAATGTCACGTGACTGCCGATCGAGTCCTTGGCATCCTTCCAACCCTAACCCGCGCACGAGTCTCGGTCCAAATCCAGTCTAGTCCGCATCTAAACATGCACTCGTCAGTAATACGACCACTGGACCCGACCGGATTTCCTCCCTGCAGTCTCAGAACGGAGCCCCCAGTCCTAGTTTTATCGCCACAGTGGCGACGAGACAAATCTTTCAACTAGGGGAAAAAATCAATCCCTAAAACATCACTTGAACGACGATAGACGTTGTTCGTCACTACCGCCCCTCGAGACTGCTCCCCTCAACACACAAACAAAGACCATCAAATGGCATATCATGCGCGTAATACCAAGGCCCCGGCCCAACTGCAATCAAGCAGCTCATTTTACTCATATACCCATTTGCTTTTTTTCTTCTTCTCTAAGCGCCTATAACCACCTTTCACACACACAAACACGCAATACATACATATCTTCAGCCATACACATATACAAAAAAAGGCCAATGTACTTTGCATCGATAGAAAAACCATGTAGTTCCATGTCGCATACAGCACACGCAGTAGCTTAGAACACTAGCAAAGAAAGTACGAAACTAGAAAAGAAAAAGAAAAAAGAGAAAAAAAAATGTTAAATTACCTTACCAAACTCCCTTGTGCAATGCGCTTTCCCATACTTGGATGAAACTCCCGAAAAAGTAAAGAAAAGTGAAGAGAGAGAGAGAAAAAGGAAGTATCGAAAACCAGTTGCATTGATGCCCCGTTTTTTCTTCTCAACCGCCCTCACACCCGTCCTCCCCTTATTCTCCCATGAACCGCTCGTAAAAATCAATCATGCTCACTCGACTCTCCTTTTCCAACTCCTGCACACACTGCCACGCAGACATGACCCGCCCAATCGTCTGCATCTCGTCTCGCCACTGCTGCACAACCCCCGCCCGTGGATCCGTATGCACCAGGAAAAAATGGCGGTAGTCGCGTCGCAGGTCAACGTGCAAGCCTGCATAGTAGCGCATCATGTTTAGGTTGGCTGCCGCCGCGTCGCGTTTAACTGTTTTGAAGTATGCGACTGGCTCGCTGTCTGCAATTACTCGGCGCTCGGATAGAATGGGGAATTTGCCCATTATGCGGCTGAGGGGCTCAGAGGGGTAGTCTTGCTCGATGTATCGTGTGTCGGATAGGAGAGTGTAAAGGCGGGCACGGCTGTTGTTGCTGTTAGTTTGCATTCGTGAGATAATGATTGAGCATAACAAACCTCTGCATTTCTGCATCGCCGCTGTCGAGCCGGTCTTCGTACTTCTTGCAGTAATCAAATAGATACTTCATTAGTTCTGGGCGGACACATAGACGCCAGAGTAGATTTGCGGTTTCGACCTGGCCTCCCGCATTTGGCAGGCCCTTGATCTGCTTCAATTCTTCAACTTTCGCGAGGAATAGCTCGATAATTTTCAAAGCGACTTGCGGCTCCTTGTCAAATACCTCGTCGGTAATGTAGATGAACCCACCGACGGGGAAGATTTCCACCGGACCATAGCGATATACGAGTGGATCAAGTGACAAAGCAGCATCGTACGCGATGCCTTCCTGGATGCCAAGTGACCAGACACGAATCTCATGATGGAGCATATCTCCTAATCCCGGTAATTCGGTGAAGTACTCGAAATCAGCATGTGCCTAGTACAAGTCAATACAGCACTAATGCTGACTCCACATTCAACCTACAATGATGACGCCAGAACCTCCGCTCTTAATTTCCTGCTGGAACTTCGCCCACCCGCCTGAAAAATGTACGCCACTGACCTCGACGTGGTGCATCAGCAGCCATCGAGTAATCAACTCCAGCTCCTCCGCATGCTCTTCTGAGTGGTACACCAAGAAAGCTCGTCGGTCTATTAGTTTAATTCCTCTTTCACAATTATTACTGCCAAATAATTCTTCAAAGTCGAGATCGCACACTGAGTCGATCCTCTTCCGCACCTTCTCACACGTTGCTTCGGGTGCACCAAGTTCCACAGGATCCGCAACCTTGGGCGACTTGAGACGAGATAAATCATCGTCTGTAGGCGCCACATCCTCGCTCTTGTCAGGCAGAGGACGATAAGAAGATACAGCGTAGTTATGCGGAGCACGAGCAGGAATTCCAGTATCATAATGTTGGAACTGGCATTTCTCCGCAGTGTTTCGACAAATGTCATTGGCCCAGTACCAGCATGTCAAATCCTGAGGGGCCAGTCTATCCATACTTTTCACTGGCTTTAGTGCACCATGTTTTCGCTCATTTTGCGGCTTTGCTGGTTTCGATACGATTTCTGGTCGCTCGTTGTGCGGCTCCATTGGCTTCTGTGCACCATTTGTTCGCTCATCAAGTGGCTTCACTGATTTCGGTGTACCACCTTTTCGCTCACACATCGGCTTTATATTCTTCTCGATTCGAGTAGGGGTATCGCTGGCGTGATTTTCGTTTGGTGCCCAGCCGGTATTTCGGTGGGCAAAGAGACACTTGTCAGCTGGCTTAAAACATCCAGTCTTTCCGTACAGCCAGTGGGTGCATGTAAGAGGTGGCCTGCGGTATTTTGGGGGTATAAATCCTCCAGCATGGCCTACAGGGTAATCGCGCCCGTCTGGATCCTTGTTGCGATGCAGAAAAATACAGACTTGAGCAGTCTTTGTACAGTTGTTGCTGAGCCGCCATTCAGGACACACCTGCGGAATTTTGTCCACCTCCCAGGGTGCTAGGGGGATATTTTCGTCGGTCAAAATCTCGCTCCTAGACCCTCCCTGAGCATCATCGCACTCTGGGCTCCTTGGACGGCTCTGGCCAACCTCACGGCGAGCATAGGGATCATCACGTGGGACTGGGGGTTTTGGCCTGACGGTACTAGACGGGTCATTTACAATCTCGAGTGCTGCCGGATTAGGCGTGCCTTCAGCACGCGACCGCTTTAGTGCCACTGCTCGGAAGTGTAAAGTGGAGAATGCTTTTTGGCCCTTTGTCCATTCACTACGCAACTGCACCTTTGGCTGGTTTACCACCCTTATGGCACCACTACGTTTGGCCTTGTTGACCGGTCTTTCTGCAGAAGCAATTGAAGTATTAGACGCACGAGCCATTGGTGTTGCGCTGGTAGTGTTTGCTTGCTGCTGTTTGGATTTTGAAGGAGGAGCATTAGCTTCATTAGCTGTCACAGACGCCGCTGCAGCTGGTTTATTACTCTGCGGAACTGCATCTTTTAGAGGTTGAGATGGTTTCTGTAGCTCCTGGTTGGTTGCCTGCTTGGTTTGGGTTGCTTTTGCGATTGGTTCCTTGCTCACAGGTACCGCAGTGCGTTTAGTCGGGCTGCATGGTAACTGCAATGAATTGCGTCTTGATTGACTATCACTAGCCGAACCCTTGGTGCCAATTGAACTGCGTGTCGTCTTTTTCGAAATTTTACCCAATTCAGCCATCGTTGAGTCATCTGTTAAGTCTGCCTCGGATGATGATAGATCCGACTGCGCCAAAGGTAGTTTACGGGCTGTTTGAGGTTGCTTGGCTGATGATGGGCTGTGAGCACCGACAGCAGCTTGTGGAAAGTTCTGCTCCTGCGATTGATTTGATGCGGCACGCCCATCTTCGGCTTCGCTGTTCGACACAAAAAGTGCCGACCGTTTCTTTGACAATGCAAGCCTCTGGCGCTTCTTATCGCGCTTTGCTTTTCTGGCCGCCCTGGCCGTTTCTGCAGCTTCGATTGCGGCATGGAAGTCGTCTATGTTCTTTTGACAATACCTGTGGAAGTGAGGCTCGCCCATAGACTTCCTACATTCATGCCATGCTCGGAGCAATGGTGGTGTGTCGGATGGATTGTTACCATCATCATCAGGAATTATAAAGGCGGATATGGGCTCCCAAGTGCCTATGAGGCTTTAGTAACTCGTGGATGTGGGGAGGTGAGATTGCATGGCAGGCTACCATGACGAAAAATCTGGAAAAAGTTTGTTTTGCAGGGAGGCTTGGAATACTTACATCTTCACTACTCGTCAGCCAGCTTCCGACAAGGCGGAATGGTCAACTCACTCGTGAAGTGGATAGCCATCCCATTTGGTCAGGTACTTGATACCGCGGAAGGGGGGTTGGTAAGGATCATCATCGTCCCAAATGTCCCACTTCTCGGCCAGAATTTCCTCGACTGCGTAGACTGCATCGTCAGGGGGTTCGCCCTCGACCGTCGATGTGATGGAAATGTCGTCGGCGTCCAAGTCTGTGTCGGGTTGTGGAGACATGTGGCGGGCGAGTTCCTGATTGGTGAGGAGCGGCAAGTATGAAATGCTGAAACTGGAACGGCACGCAGGTGATCGCTGTGTGGGTGCAATTGGCCCGGCACTAAATAGAGCACGCGGTCCTGTGCAAGGTGCAGCAGCAGTGGGCACGCGGAGAGGAAAAGTGAGAGACTATCTAAGTGGCGTTTTGAGCGTTGAGCGATGAGGTGGACAAAACAAGCAAATCAAAGCCAGTACCAGACAGGCACAACCGAGCACCCCTGCGTTGCATGCACGGTAAGGAGGACTACGTAGGTGCATGGGGAAGGTGAAAGTCGGGAATGTCACTAGCGGCTCGCTTACCTAAGACAGGCAAGGGCTCGGGCTCGCTCGTTCGCTGGGGAGGGCGCTGGCTGGTGCTTGGTGGAGCAACTCCAGGAGGCAGCGAGATACAAGCACCTGTCCACCACCACCGGCCCCAAAACACACGCCTCTCCTGCCTAGCCTGTCCTGCTTCTGCGACGTCCTCTTGGCTCTGCTTGCTAGTCCCCTCCATCACCTCACCACCAAATTCTCCTTGTCCACCCAACCGCCCAACCGCCCACCCCATCTTCCTCCCCGCCCACGGTCATAATGGCCAACGACGAATATGACGTGAGTGCCCGTCCGCCTGCAGTCGACAGTCTACCGCATCTGCTGACCGCCCGCCTACACAGTTCCTCTTCAAGGGTACCTCCAGGCCCCGTCATCGTCCTTAGACTGCCCCGCTAACCCCCGCAGTGGTGCTCATCGGAGACTCTGGCGTCGGTAAATCCAACCTTTTGAGCCGTTTCACGCGCAACGAGTTCAACCTCGACTCAAAGTCGACCATCGGTGTCGAGTTTGCGACCCGTTCCATTCAAGTCGACGCCAAGACGATCAAGGCCCAGATTTGGGATACTGCCGGCCAGGAGCGTTACCGCGCCATCACATCCGCATACTACCGTGGCGCAGTCGGCGCTCTGCTTGTCTACGACATCAGCAAGCACCAGACATACGAGAACGTCACCAGGTGGCTCAAGGAGCTGCGCGACCATGCCGACTCCAACATTGTCATTATGCTCGTCGGTAACAAGAGCGATTTGAGGCATCTGCGGGCAGTGCCAACTGAGGAGGCTAAGCAGTTTGCGAGTGCGTATACCTGATATGCGGCTTTTGGTTGTTCACTCACGTTTGTACTAACCACTATTTATAGGCGAGAACAACCTTTCCTTCATTGAGACGTCCGCCTTGGACGCCAGCAACGTCGAGCTTGCTTTCCAGAACATTCTCACAGGTAGGCGCCCCCCACCAGTAGCTCCAAGAAGCATTGTCATTAACTTGACTCCCAGAAATCTACCGCATCGTCTCAAGCAAAGCTCTTGACCAGGGCGAAGGCAGTGGCCCAGTCCTGGGCAACGACCGCAAGGTGCTCGAAATCAGCAAGTCGGCCGACGCAGAGCAGAAGAAGGGATGCTGCTAGACGAACAACCCACCAGCCCAAACAGCAATGCTCCGCCGACACTGTCTCTGGCCCTGGCCCTGGCTGCTTCTGCGTGGCGCATGTTGTTTTGACCGGGACAAGGACGGTGCGCTCCCACGGCGGGCGATACCATGAATGCAATGTGCTACACGAGTCACGCAAATGCCCTCCAATTGGCGTCCAGGAAGTCCCTCGCTTTTTACATGTGCTTTGTGTCTCTGCTTGCTTTCTGTTCGGCTAAAGGTGTCTTGGGGGAAGGGGGGGATCTCGATACTTGGTTTTGCCTGCCGCAAGGCCCTGTTTTTATGTTGGACACGGGAGATGATAATGGAATTGACTGATGTGTATCTGACGTCTTATGCAATGACACTTCATGTTAGATTCTTTTTTTGCGGGTTCCACAAACATACCATGTCACAATCGCTACTTGGAGAGAGATATATGTCACAATCACTAATCGACGGGATGTATTCTTGTCCGAAAGGAAGGAAAATGCAGAATGTCTATTGGTTTGGGGTATGCTCATCATGCTCATGAAACGCCTATACTCTTTCTACTGCCATTCATGTCATTAGGTCGCCATGTCTCTTCTGCCTTTGTCCCAGGAGGCAGATACTGTGCGCTCTGCTCAGACGTCCGTCTATATGCCGCCCCGCCCAGACTGTCATCTCGCTTCTCATCTCTCGACTCGGAAATGCCTGCCATGGGATACATTCCCGTTCCCGACATGGTCGATGGACTAGCTGTGAATGCTGCTCGCGACTTGACATCCGTCGCAAGTGGGAGAAGCGTGCCATGGTCCTTGGACTTGAGCGCTTTTGCGCGCTTGTCCGCCCTGGCGGAATCGTGTGTGCGGTCGTAGAGGTATAGGCCGAGGAAGGTGAGTACAAACCCGAAGGCCTGTACTTTGGTCATTGGTTTTCCGAACCAGACAATGGCGAAGACAATGACGAAGACGCGCTTGATCAAACTCGCGACGGAGTACGTGACAGGGGAAACCATGGATAGTAGCACAAAAGCTACAATGTTTTGTCCAAAATGGAATGTTCCGTTGAAGAGAAACTCGATGAATAGTCGTCCGTGGTCAAGAGCGTCGGGGTGATCTGAAAGTTCGATCGAGGCATCGTGCAAAAAGTCAAAAATGAGCGTGAAGCCCTCGGACCATAGCCAGAGAGGGAGGGTAAAGAGGAACGCAAGTCCGGAGGAGTAGCAAAGTAGATTGAGCTTATCTGGCTTGGTGAATCGGTTGGGTGGGAGTCCGTCTTTCTCTGCAGCTGCGGCATCGTTGAAGATTTGCTTCGAGACAATGTTCTGTACTACGAAGAGGATCGCGCTGGCGAAAGCGGAGATCAAGCCGATGAAGTTGGCGTTGAAGTCAGCTGAGCATGCTAGTACTACACCCAGAGTGAGAGGTATCAGTGAGAGATATGTAGGCAGCGAGTACTGGATCTTGAAAAAGATGCTGTATGCCATGACAGTCAGGAGCGGCGAAAGTCCCTTGATAGTGTGCACGAGCGACACGGGTATTCTCGACGTAGCGTCCGCGCTCAGTATATGTCCACCAATTTGAAAGCATGTCAGGGGCAGTGTGGCCATGACGAGCTCCCTTGAGGGCGGGCGGATTCCATATTTCAAAAAGGGCATTGTCTGTTTCAAGCGCGGAAACTTCCTGGCCAGCATGCCGAGTATCAGACACCAGCCAGATACAAAGGCAAACTGCACAGTCGTGAGGGTAATGGGTTTGGGCAGCGCGGTGAGAATGGCCTTGGAGGACATGTTCGTAAAGATGGACGTCATATACCAGGCGCCACATAGCAACTGCGCCTCGAGTTAGCGTTGCGTCATGTGTACCTTGTGCGTTGGAAAGCATACAATGAGCTTTGGTGAGAGCGGTGCCTTGAGCGCGTCGGCAATCTCGTGGGCATTCTGGCTGACGCTGCCTTTGCGCGTGCGTATCGTCTTGAAGGCTTCGCTCAAGCTCTTTTGGCGCCCGTGTCTGGTCGAGGGGCCCGACGTCGAAGCATTCACTCCGCCGAACCTCGCCTCTTTGCGCGGTTGCCACCTATCTGCGGGCATCGCGCTACCGTTGGCTTGAGTTGCAGGATTGGGACTAGGGGACCGCGACGAGCTGAGGCCATAGCCATGGTCCTCCTCTGGTGTAGGCATGAGATCGGGTTGGAAGGCGGGAAATTTGAAGGTAGCATTGGGACTGGGGTCCCGCGCCGACGGGGGCGACATGGCGACTGCGGAGCAAAGCGTCGTCGAGAGGAGTGAGGGGGTTTATCGTGAAAGAGTTCGTTACGCCATGGGTGGTGAAAGGGAATCAAGCGTCGGGGTTACAGACTATAGGGAGTGCAATGCGGGTTACATGTACAAGACGCCGAAAGTCGCGGGGCCTGGCAACGGTAGCGAGGGGCGTGTACCGGGGATCTGGACGGAGGATTGTCCCAAGAATAGGACGCGGTGTTAGAAAACAAGCGTCGCAATGGGTCCGTAATTAGCGGAGAATTGTCTGGCTAGCGTTCGTGATCCTATCGACACGCGTCCAAAAGCGGTTCGGTTGATGGCTGGGGGGCAAAGTGACAGGGGGGCGGGGAGACAGGCGACTGCTTGGCTTTGCACCACCACTACGATTCGTCGGTCGAGCTCCGCTGATAGAGCTTCCAACGTCTGCGTCACTTGGTCTTCCTTACCGCAGAGACATCAATTACAATTAAAAAGAAAAGAAAACTAACAGAAAAATCATTTTCTGGTCTAGTTCGCATGCATCAAGCGGGTCCAGCAGTCAGACTATGTTTGTGAAGTTGAATCGACTATCGTCATCGGTTTTGCTTTCTTCATTCCTACTCCTGTTACAGCGGCCGCTAGCTGCTCGAGCACACAGCGTCTCCATGTTGTCCTTCGACGAAGCATGGCACGTTCTTGGACCTTTTCAAATTGGGACCAGAGGCACGTCATGAATGAGCACGCTAGCCTGAGAGCAACCCCCACCTACTAACGTATACCTAGAGGCTTCGTGGGGTGCAGATCCACTAGAGTATGCTGGCGGCTTTAGGAACCTCACTTACGACCCAGCCGCAAAATTCCCTAGTGCCCTACCAGCGAATGGGACTGCGTCGTGGAACATCACCAAGGCTAAGCAGACCCTAAGCACTGTCAGCTCGGCTAATGCATCTTTGAGCATCAGCTATTCAAACGTCGACTGGGAATTTTTAAAAGTCATTTACGGATGGGCTGCCGTTCAGTACCAGGCCTGGGTACGCGGCGAGATTGTTGTGGGCGGGAATGATACTCAGCCTGTCGTCTTGCACACGGACTCTATCCTAGAGTACTGGATCGACGATAAGCATTATTTCGGGGGTGACTACTACAGCTACCGGCACGCACCTCCTGTGTTACATCTTACGCCTGGTTCACACAGAATTGATATCCGCCTGGTCCGCGACGTAAGAGCCTTTGGGGGTATTCTAGAGCCCACAATTGACGTTGTGGTCGACATACGACAAGTGACTGGATCACTCGAACTTGCGAACACTGGAATTCTGATGTCTGATTTCATAAATGGAAAGCCCGCCTCTAATATCGGGTCGGTATCCCTGAGGAATAGCGGGCAGGAGGATATTGAGATTTTGAGCATTCAACAATCAATTGCCAGCTCTCAAATTCCCTTCACGGAGCGAGACGTGACTGGTCAGACTCCTTTCAAAGTAGACTCAGACGTCGCTGACCAGAGGAACCACATGTCCTCAGACGATCGTCGTACCTTCCCTATGACCATAGTTGCTGGTCAAACGAGGCCTGTGTCATTCGATATCCTTCCAGCAGCCACTAATACGTCTACTACGGACTATGAGATAAAATACAGAACAGTTGGCAGCACCCAATCTTCGACAATCCGCGCTTCCCAGCCCCTTAACCACGTAGACCTTTATGCACCTCATAAGATTACATTTCTCCATTCAGGTGGCATGGTATCCTACGCTATGCTTCGGCCTCCTACCAAGAACGCGACTTGCCAACCCAATCGCTCGAAACTACCGGTTCTTCTGCAGCTTCATGGAGCAGGAGTTGAAGCTGACAACCCCATGGTATATCATGCACTTGACCCTGTGTCAGACCTCTGCGCATGGGTGTTGTTCCCAACAGGCGTTACTACATGGTCCGGCGATGACTGGCACAACTGGGGCTTTACTGATGTTGAAGCAGCAATTTCGGCAATTCCAGACTGGATTCAAAACAACAACTGGACTGGCCCCGACGTTGATGTAGATCGCTGGATAGTTTCAGGTCACTCCAATGGCGGTCAAGGGACTTGGTTCGCCTTGACACATCGTCCAGACAAGGTGCTGGCTGCGGCCCCGATTTCTGGATACACCAGTATCCAAAAGTATGTCCCATACGAACTTTGGCAGGGCGCAGACCCTAGGCGCAAAGAGACGATAAGCGCATCCCTAAACAGTTATCGCCATGAATTGCTGATGCCGAATGTGCGAGGTATTCCTATTCAACAGCAGCATGGCGGCATTGATGACAACGTACCGGCGTACAATTCGCGCCTACTAGCACAACAAATCCATCAAGAGAACGCTAACTCGAGTTTCAACGAGGTCGTTGGCTTCAGCCATTGGTGGGATGGTGTCATGACTACACCGCAATTAGTCAGCTTCTATTACACACAGACAAATAGTGAGGATGCCATGCCACGAAAACTGAAGCAGTTCAGCTTCCTCGTTGGAGATCCAGGAGATATGGGTAGCAAAGGTGGGATCGGAGTGAAACATTTAGAGGATCCAGGACGATATGGAAGAGTCAGTGTTCGAGGGAACGTTATCAGGACTTCCAATGTGCAAGATCTTGAATTTGATATCGCTCTTTGGAAGGAGTCGGTAATCATTGACCAGAAAAGGGTGGAACTCCCAGGTACGCCAAGTCCAGGAGAGGCAGTAATCAATGTCTACAAATCGGCGGATGGTTGGACGCTGGGTCCAGGTGGGAAAGAAACCGGACATCTCCAACGAAATGGTCGTCAGCTGGGTTCCATGACTGCCATTCTTCGTACACAAGGCTCCTTTATTATTCGTCATTCAGGGTCTACCGCCGCATCTCATATTGCTTTGCAGGTTTCCCGCAATCTCCACCAATACTTCAAAGCAGACACCCAAATTCTCCCATCTGCATCGAAGTCTATCCCTCCAGACTCTTCTGGGAATGTCATCACCCTAGGTATCGCCAGTAGTCTCCCGCCGTTCCAATCTAGCTTTCCCGTCCATGTCGGTGAATTTGGAGTCACTATTCGCGATTATCGTGGTCAGGAGCACCAGTATGGGGAGGAGGCCCGTGGTGCAGCGTTCCTTCGCCCACTTGAAGGTGAACGACTGGAATTGGTTCTCTGGGGTTCTGATGAGGCAGGACTGCAGCAGGCGGCACGGATTTTGCCCCTTATGACAGGCGTGGGTCAACCAGACTTTGTAATCTTCGGTGAAAGTGCAAGATGGAAGGGAATTGAGGGTGTGCTGGCTATGGGCTTCTTTGATTCCAACTGGGAAATCACTCCTGCCAGTGTCATTGACAGTAACATTGACACGTATCAGGCTGATTAGGCACCATGCACTGTGTGTGTATGTAAATACGAGACAGCATATACATGAGAAGCCACATCTTTATTGTTGCTGTCTTTACTTTATTCTTGCATGAACTATAAGTAATTCCTAGATTCTGAAGACCGTTTCTGCATTCAAATCAGATTTTCTTTTGAACTTCTAATTTGCAGGTTTTAACGTCAAAGAAGCCACATACCTGTTGTTATTATATTCACTCTTCCCATCTAAAAAAACAAAAGCAAGACCTATGTGAAGATTGTATTTGCACGTCAATTAAATTTTCTTTCGAACTTCTCATTTATAGGAGGGAGTCTTCCAGTGTTAGCGCCGAAGAAGCTCTCTTAATTCCTCCTTATTTGACCAATGCACTATTTCTAAGTCAATTACTGCACCTAGCCACTCCAGAGAACAACTGTATAGTCAATGCAACAATGATCCTTGCCATCACTACTGGCGATCCCCTAGGCACTTGGACGGCAAGACTAGCAAAGGCTTTAGCCTTGGCATGGAGTGAAAGTGAATGCGGAAAATCCCGCCATGACGCGCCTGCCTTCGCACTCACTGCGACTGATTTAAAGGCTCCTCTCGCCGCCACCCCGCCTTCTTCTTTTTGCTGTGACCTCCCCGTCCCCCTCCTTCCTTTTGTGCCGCCGTAGCTCTCTCCTTGCTGCAGCACCTTCTGCCACCTAATCTGTGTACATCTGAGCTGTTCGTCGTCGCTTCTGTATCTACCTTGGTCATATACGACGCCACCCAAGCCTCGACAGGCATCTGTCCTGCATCTTATCTGCACATTTGCCCCATTGCCCCAGATTTGATCCCCACCACCTTTCGGAACCGCAGTCTTGTCCTCGTCCAGCCTGCATACTACGTGAGCTTTCCAGATCTATACCATCTAATTCCCCGCACACACGTTCAAGTGCCGCTGCCATGAGCTTCAACATCGCATCCGACGGTTCGCCTACACCTCGCAAGGGTCCCACTCGGTTCCCGGTACCAGGGTACCTCAGAATCGACACTTCACCCGAGGCTTTGGGTCAGGCGGTAGGCAAATTGAGTCTAGGCGGCTATCCATATGCTTTGCAACGCGTCTTTGGCTCAGCGTTGACTTCCAATACACAGGGCTTCAAGCGATCACTTGGACCTTCTACCCTAGGCAATCGACCGCTTCTGGAACCGCACAATCCGCTCGATGGTTACAAGGTTCGTGATACTCATACTCGCCCCTTGGCACATCAAATTTGCTTTCCGTACTAATCAATCTAATGTATGCAGAAGTCCAGCACAGAAGCCGATGAGGATCGAGCCATAGTGGACTCAATGTTGCAGCGCTTCAACAGGCACTCTCCTCTCCATGATCCGTACAGTTCTTCTAGTGGCTCTGTTTCCCTTACTCCAGCCACGGAAGATTTCACGTCCACGCCACCCACGGAGATGGAAAACTCAGTTGTCCTTGTCGAAGCTGTCGAGCTGCAGAAGCTGAAGTTTGAGCTACAGGAAGCTCGCAACGAAGTCAATCGCGTAAACCAGGAGATGCACAGCCAAAACGTAGCCCGATCAACCATGGAGCACCTCACGCAATCGTCGGAGCCTGATTATGGTTACTCAGACGACATCACCGAGCAGACTCTTGCAAGCCTACAGAACAAGTTCAACGCCTCGACCCAAGGCACATACGGCTGGGGCAATGGGTCTGCTCGTACAGCTCACGTGGGCAGCAATGGATTCGGAGCTCCCTACCCGACCCAGGGACAAGTACAGACCCGAACACAGTCCTCCCAGTCAAGCTATCGTCGCACCGGCTACTTGAACGAGCCCACTCACTTTCCGCTTGACCAAAGCTTCCGTAGCACCAGCAGGGCAAGCAGCATCAGCAACGTAATGAATAGTGGTATGTCCAATAGTATGTATACTGGCTCTAGCAATGGCATGGGCATGGGTGTGGGCAATAACTTGAGCAACCCGCCTACTCGTCCAAGCTCCGCATTTGATCCTGGATACAATCAATACGCTCTGCCGCCAATGTATCCTATTGGTCATCCGACTCCAATCGGCACCATTTCCAGCAACTTATCTGCGGACGCGAACGAGTTCAACTTCGCCAACAACATGGGATCTTCGCCGTGGAACACACAGGTTAGTCGTTGATTGTTTCCATACCCGGATTCTGAACTGACGATTACTCAGGCCCAACCCGAGACTGGTACTACCCAGTACGTTCCCCCTGTCGAGCCGATGAATTACCGTCGTTTGTTGGACCGCAACATGAGCTGCAACTGGAAATACATCGTTGACAAGATCATCTGCAACAACGATCAGCAAGCTTCCATCTTTCTCCAACAGAAGCTCAAGGTGGGCACTCCAGAACAGAAGTACGAAATCGTCGAAGCGATCATTTCCCAAGCGTATGCTTTGATGATCAACCGGTTCGGTAATTTCCTCGTTCAGCGCTGCTTCGAACATGGTACACATGATCAGGTAATTGCCATTGCTCAAGCTATCCGTGGCAACACTCTTGCGCTGAGCATGGATGCTTTCGGTTGCCATGTTATTCAGAAAGCTTTCGACTGCGTCCCCGAGGAGTACAAGGCAACCATGGTCCATGAGCTTCTCCGTCGCATTCCAGAAACCGTAATCCACCGCTATGCTTGCCATGTCTGGCAGAAGCTATTCGAGCTTCGTTGGAGTGACTCTCCACCTCAGATCATGCGCTACGTCAACGAGGCCCTTCGCGGTATGTGGCATGAGGTCGCGTTGGGCGAGACCGGTAGTCTTGTGGTCCAGAACATCTTCGAGAATTGTCTGGAAGAAGACAAGGTATTTGCCCACGACGGATGTAATGTGTTAGTTATGCTGACTGTTACAGCGTCCCTGCATCAACGAGGTATTGGCCAGCATCGATGTGATTGCACATGGACAGTTTGGAAACTGGTGCATTCAGCACATTTGCGAGCATGGTGCGCCGGCTGATCGTAGTCGAGCAATTGAGCACATTCTTCGCTTTAGCACGGAGTACAGCATGGATCAATATGCCTCCAAGGTCATCGAGAAATGCCTCAAGATTGGTGGCAGCGAGTTTCTAGACCGTTATCTCGATCGTGTTTGCGAGGCTCGCCCTGACCGTCCACGGATGCCTTTGATTGACAGTAAGTGACAGCCTTTGTGCTCATTCAATGCAAGAGAAACTAATTTCGAGACAGTTGCGGGTGATCAGTTCGGTAACTATCTCATCCAGTACATCCTGACCAACAGCAGCTCTCAGCATCGTGAGCTTGTCGGTGGCCATATTCGGAAGCATATGGTTTCACTTCGCGGTTCCAAGTACGGCTCCCGTGTTGCGATGCTCTGCTGCAACCCTGCCCTTACTACGCGCCCCGGGCCCCCAGCTGGTATGCTCCCACGCTACGGCAACCCGACGTCGCGACCCACTTTTGGCTCTTTTCGGTAGATTTCAAGTCTGGGGCTCTAGATATCGCCGACCACATACGTACCGTTGGGTATCATCAGCTTGTGCACCCCTCGCTCTCAATCTCGAAGAAGGTCTCGTGGATATGCCCAAAAGCTAAGATCAATGTCGAAACAATTGTCAGATCGATTGGCTTAAGATGAGCACAGTGAGCATGAATTGCTTTCTCCTGACACAAAATCGCTTGGTGGATATAGTTTATTGACCTACATGACTTTTCTTGTTTATCCTGACATTTTCAGTGGTCGTGACGGCTTTGGTCAGATCAGCGAGGGAAGTCTGGGGCGATATGGCGAACAGCGAACTGGATTGTGCGTACATAGTTATACTTCTTAATAAGCAGACTGATTAAGCGGGAATACGGTAGTTAGTGGGTAATGTTTACTAAGGAATACATATGTTTTCCATTGAGTTGTCCGACGAATCCAGTGTCTGTGCTATGTGAAGTTTATGATGCGGGAATATCCTTGGGACTCTCTTCAACAGAGTTGGTTGGGAATGAAGGACTTGTTTACCAAGTCAAGGAATGCAATATGCTCGCTAAGCTTTCGGGTTGAAGGGTGAATGTCGCAATAGCTCGGGGAAAGTATGGAGATTGTACGGACTTCGGCAATCTTCGGACGCGTTCGGGCAAGTGCTTCTCGGTTTGACAACAAGATGTTTTGGACAGCAACGAAAAGGCCCATGAAAGGGAGGCGATAGTAGGGCATGGCGAACATATAGATGGTCTAGAAAGCAACGACAATAGTCAAGCCGCATGGCCGACCATGGTCGGAGGGCGAGCAGCGGCGTGCCGGCAAGTATGGAGATGCCGCTTCGGCGCAAACTCTGAGCCGCACGCGACGTACGACATGCGACGCGTTGCCGACATGGGACAGATCGGAAGCATGGCTTACACCTGCTGCAGGTGCTTACTTTGCAGCTGTTCTTGCGTCGATTTTTTCAGGATACCGAATACGTGCGTTGGTAGATTCTGATATCAATGAAGCCGGGCAATGGATGCAATTGCCATTTGCGGTCAGAAAGATACACAGCAAGAGGCATGTACTCGGACAGTTTCTCGAGCCAAAGACCGCAGCTTGTCTCGTTTGCGCAAGACAGTGTATGCATGTATTTGAGGTATCACGCATCAATGACCTGACCTTAGTGCGGCGTCTGTAATCGGGCCAGAAGATTTTGGAGGGCTTGGGCTAGGCAGGGTCCGCCGAAAAAGCTCTTACCTCATCAACAGGGCCTAGCGGTGCCGGAAGCTCGGCGACGTCACCATGCTGTATGTGCCCTAGATTTGATTGCCGCATCATGTTTTAATAAGTCGCCGTAGACGCCGTTTTATTTTCCATATCACCTCACAGTCATCGATTCTTCAACAGTGGAACAACCCCTCATAAACCCTCCCACCTGCCTTACATCCATCAATCCACACGCCAACAACCCATCATTTTTACCCAGCCATATTCACATAACCCAAGATGAAGGTTCTCACCAAGGAAGAGGAACAAGCGCATTACAAGTAGGCGCGACCACAACCCTGCCAAAAACTTTGTGCTAACGAACAGCAGTGCTACAGTTAAGGGTGGCACAATCGGCGGTCTTATCGGCACAGCAGTAGGCGCTGCGGCTGTTGTGGGCGCAAGCAGACGCTACCACTCCTTCCGAGCCCTCACTGTGCCATTCCGGGCTTTCCTTATCGCTTCAACCGGAACCTTTGTTGGTATGTCCAAACCCAACAATATCCTTGTACTACAAGATTCCAGAGTCTAACCGTACAATTTAGCCGTCATCGCCGCCGACCGGGCTTCCGCACAATACGACATTGAACACACTCCCGAAAAGAAGCGTCAGATCGAGCGTGACCAGCAACGAGAAAACCTTCTCGAAGCCAACAAAACGCCCTTCCAACGTGCGAAAGATTGGGCGACGGAGAACCGTTACCCGCTCCTGTTCGGCTTCTGGGTTGCTTCCATGGCCGGCTCATGGCATATGGTCAACCGCAACCCTTACCTGAGTGGGTCACAGAAGCTTGTGCAGGCGCGTATGTACGCTCAGGGTGGTACACTGGCTGCGCTACTAGGCAGCTTTGCCATTGAGGGTGCAGATGCGGCCAAGGGCAAGGGAAGGTGGGAGACCATCAAGATTATCGACCCCAACGACCCCGAGCACAAGCACATCATTGAGAAGAGGATCCACCACGAGAGATATGCTGGTGAGGACCAGTGGAGAGGTACGAGGCTTTCATTCAATGCATGAAAGATAGCAAGCTGACTTGAGGACATAGAAATGGTCGAAGCTGAGGAACAGCGCCAAAAGGAGCGCGAGAACGCCAAGGCAAATGGCCAACGAGCCAAGCAGCAATGAGATGCTGCAAACAAGAAATAAGAGAAGCCCGAAGATGAAGACCAATAAGACCAACATCGGACCTGAAGTCTTTTCGCCTCGGAGCCTATTCTTACCTACTCATCTCGGATAGCTTCACCAGCCCGTTCACCGTGTATATTTGTAGGGTTTCATGCGCCATGCGGGGGTTTTGATGCAAATTTGCAGGCGTTTACAAGAAGCATTGGTGTTATTTTTTCTTTTTCCAATACCTCCTTACGACTCATGTATAACTAGGTAGGGTATGCTCGTAATTGGCTAGGAATGCAGCGGCGCATACCTTTAGAGCTCACTGTACTTCAAAAGGAAAATTTCCTTGCGTCAATCTACTACTACATCAACCATGACAGTAGCCAATCAAACGATAAATTGCCCGAGAAGCAAATATTCTGAACGCGATTTTGTTAGTAGTTTTAGGGTCCATGATGACGTCTACGCGTTTATATGGAGGCACTACCATGCATGAAGCACGTCACTCAAATTCGCAACGAAGTTGATAAAGATTGATACAATACGCTCGCTCCTTAATGCTCTTGGTTCTTATTTTGTATATTTTACATTTTGGACGAGATAAAAAGAGAAATAAGAGTCATGTCGGACTCGGATGTGTCCCAGCTACTCGACTCGATATCACATAGGCTCATAACAAACACTAGCCTTGTCCACGCGCCCAAGAAGCCTCAAGATGCGCAACTGACGGCAACCATTGCAGACCTGCATGTCCACCCCACAATCGAAGCTCTCCTACATATTCTGAACCACGACCTGTCATCTGCACACTTTCTCGTTCGACACATGCAAGCCCCGCCAGCTGTGGAGGGGATGCTTCTCCATGGCATCCTGCACCGTGCCGAAGGCGACTTTAACAACGCACGGGCATGGATAAGCGACGTCTCGGACGCGTGTGAAGGTTACCAACCCAAACACAAGGACGAAGGCCAGAAACTAGATCCCGAAGTTGCCAAACAAGTCGGCAGCAACTTGCAGATATCTGGTTCACTTGTCAAGTTCGTTTATGGTGACGAAGATGCTGGAAGTCTTATCGATGCTGTCGAGGCTTTTCGAAAAGAAAAGCAGGCACAGAGGAGGGAGGAGGAAGAGAAGGGGATTGAGCGGAGGATTAGAGAAGAGGCGGAGAAAGTGCTGGAGTGGTGTAGGAGCAAGTTTGGGAGTGGGGTGTGGCGGGATGCGACAAGGGCTTGGGTGAAGAATAGTGAGGAGATTAGTAAGATTAGTGGGAGTATGGTGAGTGGTGGGAAGGGGTATAGGGACTTTTGATTTTGAATAACAGTTCAGAATTAGAACCAAATTGATTTCGATGTAGTACCAATTCGTATGAAGGAGTTTTCTTTTTCAGTCTTGGTGCCGTGGAAGCTTTCTTAATTTCCTCTTGTTGAGCCACGATACTGATTCTAAGTCAAAATACTGTATCTAGCTACTTTAGAAAACCACCTAGCAGTTGATACATCTAATCATTGTAGGTACTTTTTATACTATGTAGATGTTTAGCACGTGATACGATCGTAATACCGAGCACAGCTAGTGTCCCGCCGGTGCCAAGACCAGCAGGCTGATCATGCCCTCATCCTGGCGACGTGACCGCCCCCCTTGACCGTTCCGCGCTCTCTCTGGCTCCAATGGGCGACGGGTCAACAGGCCGTACGCCCATGTGTAAGACTATCTGGTTGCCCGCATGTCCCCCAAGGCGTGCAGACGGGCGTGAGGACATGATGCAGCAGTCCGTCATTTGTACAGCAACAACCACCGCGGCGAGCTAAGCGAGGGTCGGGCCAGGGTGCAACAGCGAATGGCGTTGGGGCTGCCCCCAGTAGGCGGTCGGCCTGTGACATCAACGGCCAGCTTTCACTTCTTACAACCCGCCATTATTCTTCCCGTACGCACGTGCAGCCCGCGGCTGGACTGGAAAAACAGGTACCCATGGCCGACCAACTCCTCCAGGCCAACGGCCAGAGCCGCCCTAGCAACGTCAAACACCACACTTCACCGTCTCTCATGATGAACTCGCACTTTGCGGGCGTGGGCGACAATGCCGACAAGCAGGCCTACGAGCATGGCATCCAGGTCATTGACGAGGACAAGATGTTCAAGTATGTCACGGCACCCGAGGCATCGTCCTTGCTGCGGGGCAAAATGCTAATGTCTACTCGCAATCCAGCGGAAACCTGTCGACATACCTCAGTATCGAAAATGTCATCCCCGCCGGCTTCAACTACCACCTCATTTCCGTCTTTGGCTCGCAGTCAACGGGCAAGTCGACCCTCCTCAACCACCTCTTTGGCACCCAGTTTGGTGTCATGTCGGAGCAGGAGCGTCGCCAAACTACAAAGGGAATTTGGATGAGCAAGAATAAGCGTGAGGCCGGCGGCTCGGCCATGGCAGAGAACATCTTGGTCATGGATGTCGAGGGAACAGATGGTAGAGAGCGAGGCGAGGACCAGGACTTTGAGCGGAAGAGCGCTCTCTTCGCCCTGGCCACGAGTGAAGTCCTCATTGTCAACATCTGGGAACACCAAGTTGGATTGTACCAGGGTGCCAACATGGGCCTGCTCAAGACTGTCTTTGAAGTCAACTTGCAGCTTTTTGTCAAGGATGGCCAGTGAGTATACATTGACTGGATTCGACTGTACTCTTGCACTGACAACCCCACCAGGTCGAGTCCAAAATCACTCTTATTCTTCGTCATCCGCGACCACATCGGCGTCACACCCCTCACCAACCTACAAAATACCCTGATACAAGACTTGTCCAAGCTGTGGGCGACCATATCGAAACCCACCGGTCTCGAAGCATCACGGATAGAGGACTACTTTGACTTCGCCTTTGTCGCACTACCACACAAAATCCTCCAGCCAGAAAAGTTTGAAGAAGCAGTCACAAAACTCAGCACACGGTTCAAGGAAGGATATAGCGACCCAAGGAAGAGCGGGCTCATTGACGAGACAACCGCACCCATCTTCCTTCCTCAATACCATCGGCGGATCCCTGCCGATGGCTTCCCTGCGTACGCACAGGGTGTTTGGGATCAGATCGTGAGCAACAAAGACTTGGATTTGCCAACTCAGCAGGAACTCTTGGCCCAGTTCCGGTGCGACGAGATATCTAGAGAAGTCCTTGTTGCCTTCGATGAACAGATCATGCCTCTCGAAGACAAGCAAGCTGATGCTGCTCGGGCAGGGACATTCTCGATCATCCCTGACCTTGGACCCATCATGAACACTGCACGAGCAAAGGTCCTTAAGGATTTCGACACCAATGCAAGCCGATACCACAAGGGTGTCTACAAGCGGAAGCAGGCAGAGCTCGAGGCCAAGGTCGACACACGATTGAAGGCTCTGTTCCAGAAGCAGCTCACGTCAGCCCACAAGTCTGGCGTGGAAAGCTTCAGTGAATCCGTTAGCACAGCAGTGAAGAGCGGTCAGAAGAAGGGAGGATCATACGACTTTGCACAGATTGTCGACTCTGAAAAGAAGAAGGCTCTTGCCAGATTCGAAGAGGATGCCAAAGCAATGGCTATCGAAGCGGCGACTTGGAGCAGCTACGAGAATGAGATGAAGATCTTCAACAAGGAGCTAGAAGATGTCTCTAGTCGCCTCCGTAAAGAGGAGATGAGGCGCCTAGCCACCAGAATCGAGCGCTGGGTACGCTCACGTTTGGATGAGTCCGTTGGTCTCGAGTTCAACAAGCTCGGATCCGGCCGGGGTGGTTCTGGTGCGCCTGAGCATGGTGATCGACCTCCTACTGAGAAGGACCTCTGGGACCGGGTCTGGAAGATCTTCATCGATACCGTCTCTAGTGCAGAGAAGCGGTTCACTGATCGAGCTTCCAGCTTCGACGCTAGTTCTGAAGAGGTTGAGGTCGGTCTGTGGAGACTGCGACGCAAGTCTTGGGCTGTGCTTCGTGCCAAACTTGATGAGGAGGTCATGGAGGGCAACATCCTATTGAAGCTCAGGGAAAATTTCGAAGACAAGTTCCGCTACGACGACCTCGGTGTTCCCAGAATATGGAGACCAACAGACGATATTGAGGGTATCTACACCAAGGCTCGCGAGTCCACAATCACTGTTATCCCACTCCTTGCTCGCTTCAAGCTTGCATCGACTTCGAAGCCTCCACCGCTTGATGGATGGATCGGTGAAGCACCGGCTTCAGTGACTCCAGCAGACGAGGACGATTTGACTCCCATTGGTGGTGTAGACGATGAAGAGGGCAGGAGTCTGGAAGAGGAGATGACCATTCTGTCTGACGCCAAGCAAGCCGATCTGCTTGTTCGATTCAAGAAGACTGCAGATGGCGTATACGTTGAGGCCAAGCGTAGTGCCATTGGCGGCATCACTCAAGTTCCACTATACTTTTATGGTCTTCTCCTTGCGCTCGGTTGGAACGAAATAGTTACCGGTACGTTTGTTCCTGCTCCATCAATTAGTATTTTCTTCAATACTGACACATTCCAGTTCTACGCAACCCGGTGTACTTTATCTTCCTCATTCTTATGGGTATCGGTGCCTACGTTACCTACACACTTAACCTATGGGGCCCCATGGCACGCATGGCCAACGCCGCCTCACAGCAGGGTCTTGAGGTTGGTAAGGAGCGGCTGCGCGCTTTCCTTGAGAGCTCAGATGCTGGTCGTCAAGCCATGGCTATGAGCAGCTCGAATGAGTCTCGGAGATACGAGAATGTCCGCATGGATAGGTTGAACGGAGATGGCAAGAAGAGCAGTGCTGAAGTTGAAGACTTGGACGATATCTAAATGATCAAACGTATGCTCGGGCTCTTCTTTGGACTAGACAGTGTTGGGGGTTCAATAGCACGGATTGCAGGTCTTTGACGATGTTGCGCTATGGATTTTGCCAATGGGGTTTCCCACATGTTCAGATGGCGTAGCGAAGGAATGCGAAAAGCGAAGTTGCTGTCTTTGTGCTCTGTTGTATAGTTCTAGATCGTGTCCTTCAGTATGTTCATGTCCTACCTGTAGCCATTATCGTCGCGATTAGTTGCATGTGTACTGTCGTCTACTATAGCCAAGTAGCAATGGAAAAGTTGTCCAAAGGATCTCTTGATAGTCCTTCATGCTCCTACGACCATCTCCCACCCAAACCCCATTCCTTCCCCCCTCACACCCCAAACTTCCTCGGATCCAAACTTTCAATCCTCGCACTCTTTGCCTCACCCTCAAACACAATCTCACTCAACAGCTTGCCCGTACCCGGTCCATTCTGAATCCCCCAACACGTATGACCCGCCCCCATCAGCAAACCCCGCACACTCGTCTTACCCACCAGTGGCCCCCCACGCTTCATATTCGGTAAATAACACGCTTGTCTCGCCGTCACCTCTCCATCGCGCAGTTCCTCTGACACGGACGAGACTTGGTCGATGATGTCCTGGCAGCGCTGCTCGTCGCAGTGTACGAGGTCTGTAGAGGCGGGTAGAGGGACGAGAGTGTCGCCGTCGCCGCAGGCGTAGACTTCTTGGTTGGGGCGTGCGTAGATTTCCGGTGTTACTGTCTCGCCATGTTTGCTGTTGCCGCGGGGCATGTTGATGGCGGTGAACAAGGCGTAGGCGGAGACGGGGCGGGTGGGGCGGATGGTTACGCTGTGGGCGCGGAGGGGGTAGATGGGGGTTGGGTTCCAGACTGATTTTGTCCAGGGGCCTGCAGTGAGTATGATTGTGTCGGCGGGGAGTGAGGTTTCTTGGTCCGAGTCTTTGAGTTTGTAGGAGACGGAGGTTACGGCTCCGTTTTCCTGAGTAATGTTTGTTGCAGAGCCGTAGAGGATTTTTACCCCGTTTTCTTGGGCGAGCTCGGCCATGCTTGTTGTGAATTGGTAGGGGTGGACTTGGGCGGTTGTGAAGGGAGTGCCCATTTCTTCGTAGGCTTTTATGCCTTCGGCGGCGACCCAGTCGAGGTCTTTTGGTACGCCGGCGGCTCGCAGCAGGCCGATTGCTTTCTCTGTCCGCTTCTGTAGACTCACGTGGTCTTCTTTGGCTCTGCTGTCTGCGTCGCTTTTTGCGCTCTTTTGCTTTGCTAAAATACCGTTCATGTCAATTTGGCCGCAGTGCACAGCTCGGTAGCCCCAGCGGTTAGCTCCATCATGCTTCTCGGCTAGCTCTTGATGTAGCTTGTAACTCAATGGCACGATGCAGCTGGGATAGGCCCATAATCCCAATAAGCCGCCAGCTTTTCCTGATGCGCCACCGGCAATCTTGGTCGCTTCGAGAAGGGTAATCGTATCTTTTTCTCTATCAAATTTCTCATGCTGCGAGAGAAAGTATGCTGTGGTTGACCCGATGATACCGCCACCTGACAAGAGACATCAGCCTCGGATTTCTATAGAAACCGGATGTCAGGAATAAGTACCGATGATGACAATGTTTCGTTTTTGCTGCTCTGCTGCCATGGTGGTTAGAAGGCGCGATGCTACTCTAAGCATGTGATGGTGGTTGGTAAGAAGCGTGGCGTCGATGGTGTTGCGTTTTTCGGCGGCTAATAGACCGATTATAAAGGTACGTCATAGGTTATTCCCCTCGCAACAGACTGCAAATTACTCTATTAGTTAGGTACAAGTTCGATTTCGAAGGAATTATACTAATAGGATTAACTAGTCGGAGTATCCAAGAAACGCACAAGGGAATGGAAAGGTAGACTTCTCGCAACGGGGTTTAAAAGTCCCCGCCCATGTCGCCCATGTCACCCATATCTCCCCCATCGTCTCCGCCCATATCATCGCCGTAGTTGTTCTGGACATATGTATCGCCATCATCTCCCGCCATTGCTGATCCTATGAGACCACCAGCGAGCAGACCACCCCCCGCTCCAAGAGCCATAGCCCCCATACCCGCCCCTCCTCCGGGGCGCCTGCCGCCACCGCCCATAGGCATCATTCCACCACCCATCGGCCGTCCGTAGCCTCCTCCGCCATAGTAACCCCCTCCAATAGGCTGGCCGTAGCTTGGTTGGCCGTATCCGTGGTGTTGCTGTGCGTAACCAGGCGATGGCGAATGTGACGAGCCAGAAGCCTTCCCAAGGATCTTGCCTAGGAAGCCTTTGCTCTTACCGCCCTTGTCCTGTACGGCTGTGTCCTGATATTGTCCTTGTTGGTACGGATTTGGACTTGGCTGGCCATAACCGCCATATTGTTGTGGATACGACTGGCTGGATTGGTTGTAGTAATCATTCGAGGCACCACGTGCGCGCGCTTCTTCCTCTTGTTGAAGTTTTCTTGCGAGTTTCTCATCTTCGCTAATGTTCGCATACGGGTTGTTACTACCCAGGCTTCCCTTCTCGCTCCCGCCAGTCGGGAAGCCGCCCACCGCACCGCCAGCTGAAGGCGAGACATAGTTGGGAGGGGCGCCTGGGGGCGGCGCTTCACCAGGAGGGTAGACGGGCTGCGTTGGCTTCTCCCATTGCGACTGCTTCGTATAGACGTTGACGTAGAACCACTCGTTGTACTGTGTATTCCAGACAGCCTTCCAGCCTTCGGGCACATGTGGCGGGGGAGGGCCCTGTACACACTATCAGCTATGTTTGCGCATTGGCCTAACTACACTTACTGGTGGAGGTGCGAAATCTGCCATGTTACGTGGACTGTAATGCTAATTCTGGGATGGTGTTTTGACCTAGGGTGCAGAAGAAACGATGGACTGGGATACCCAGAGATTGTGGCAGAGTGAGCTGTAATCCCGCAGTGATGGGCTGATGACCCGCGGCACTCCGTGTGAGTGCGACTTTCAATACAGTGTGCGTCATTGTGGCGCGGCGACTAGATGATGAGCCAAACACCTGCTGAGCCACATTGCGCGACTGTAATGACGACGGTACCAGTTTCCATGAATGCCATGGCACATGATTCGTAGTTTGTGCGCATTCGTTTGCACGCGAACCCTCGAGGTTGCAAGGGATCTGGATGGATATGATGTCATTCCGGGCCTGGTATGCGAACATGTATCACAAAGCTAAGACCTGCCCATGACTCTACACGACGGTACCAGAACATTGCTCCCGACTATACAGCTCCGAATCCCAAGTACCCAATATTCTTATGCACTAACATGGACCAACTTTTGTCGTCTTCTCAAAGTTGCTTTGTATGCATTCTACAGAATTGGCGATTACTGTATTGATCAGGTTGTTCCGTTGCCAATAAGGTACTTGTCGCATGGTACAATTAGCCCAAGTCTCGGTAGAGCTAAGACACTACTCAAGAGGTTGATTTGGTCCGCGACTAGCAACAGACCTTACAGCAGGCTCATTACCGATAGGTCAGACCTTCACCAACGAGAGTGAGAACGCCATCCGGATGTCGGCACGTGCGGCGACTGGTTTTGGAACACCCCTCGCATCTTCAACTAGAGATACCTACAAGAAGAAAACTTTATCTAGAACTTGTGTCACATGCAACAGAAACACATGATAGCCAGGTCGTTCGGAAAGTGGTGTTCAAGGCGACGCGAAATGGTTTCCGTATTCAGCGTGTCTGTGTATAACATGAACACTCCCAGATCTTCCTTTCTAATCGCCCTCGCTCTTTGCGTATTTCTGAAGGAAGACGGTCTGGTCTGTTTGACCCTGTGTTGTTGATCCAAGGCGGTCAAGCTGTGGAGTGATGACGTGCACATCCGCAAACAAAAATGCTGAGACAGTTTCAACAGTGTCTAATATCAGTGGTAGTAGCGTGGTGGTTACAGGGATCAGCAATTGTTACGACTACTTTCACTTGGCAGATTTGCTATTCGTTCCGGTTCTTTTTCGTCAGAGGATGTGCATATCCTACGGCGTGGAAATGCTAACGACATGTCAATAGTTGTTCTGTTACCCCAGCTGCTGAATTGTCCAAATGGCAATGAATATCGCTCTTGGTGATTTTCTTCGCGAGCTGTGTATCGACATTCCTGTTTGCTAATTTTTGGCTCCAACCAGGGCAAGTACGGCACGCTAATGTCGGCGATGAATATATCCCATGGCGGACGCACGAGGCAAATGCAATTGTTGGGTTAGGAAATGATGAAAAAGGATACTAGCGCTGAGGACGAGGTTTGTAAGACAACACTGGTAGTGTACCGATGGGTTAAAGTTAGCAACAACATTGAGGTAAGAGATAGTACCGAACAGCACGCTTACCCAAGGCCGCACTAGAACATGCAGAGACGCGCTGAGCTGAGCCCACCATGCATGTATACCGCCATGTACCTTGTTCTCGAACACTCTGGCCAACATTCCTTCGTATGTAATCCCAGGATCCGCGGTTGCGTATACGATTTGCCGGTACACGAAATGACGCGACTAAAGTCGAGTCAGACAGCCTCTCCAAGCTCGGTTTTTGTACTAGTTCAATCGATTGTCCTGTCGGATATCCGCGATCCCATGCCTTAGTAAGAGACAGGCAATAAGCAAGTGAGTGGATCAAACCGTGTTGTCTAGGCGTATAGAGGAAAAGGCGCCACAAGAAGTACCACCTTGCCTTACCTGAAAGAGAAGGAAAGGACTAAGCGTTGTTTTCGACACATGTGGCACAGGAAACCGACCCCACAGCCTCGGTCCGGTGTGCACGATATTGCAGGTATGGCAATATACGGACTGACGCAAGTATCAGTTCAATTCCGTTCAGCCACAGGATGCTACATGCGATTGCAAACGCAGCTATGCCAGTTGTGATGCGGCGCTGAACCTGCATAGCGTTGCATCGGAATTCCCCATTCGATAGATCGCAACACATATTGCCGTGCCGCTGGATGGAAAATAGTACCAGCGACGGTGCAAAGGGCGCCCGAGTTGTCCCGCTGGTAGGCTCGCTTGTAGGCGTGCATTGCGAGCTTATGTCTTGGCAACATCAGACGGGATACTCGCATGAATATGGACTAGCGTTGGGGTGTAGACAGCGCAGCTTTGGTTGAATGTGGAGATGCTTGGCGGGGCATTGATGACCAGTATATATCTAGACCAGCGCTTACAAGGAAGATGCGACCAGGCTGTCGGTGAGAGATGCGGGTGCATATCCGGCCATGGGTGGCTTCGGGTAGTAGCATGTGGTGAAGCTGACTCTTGTGCCGATCGAAGCGCCTCTATTGAGCGGTATCCTGGCTGGAGAGTCATGGGGAGATGGGTTCCAGGTACACGCCTGATATCATGAACGGCTTCAAACACGGTCGATAGTCTAGCGGGCAGATGCAGATGACGGCAACTGTGGAGCTAAGCATGCAGTAAGCGTCGACCGGACCTGGTACAAACAAGAATACAAAGAACGGACAGGTACGGAGGGCGGGAGGGTCGGAGCCGGGCGAGGCATTTTGACAGTATTGGTAAAGGCGAGATGGAAGAGTGGAGTAGCTGTCCCAACGAGGTGGAGATGGAAGGTGGCTGAGTCGAGATTGCCAGGGCGACTAAGATACTGTCGTGTGACGGTAAGTCAGGCACTGCTTGGCATACAACACCACCAGAGGCGTTATCAGTCGGCCAATCCCCATGGCTAAGAGCATTCCACGGCCTTTGACTCCAATGCAGGGTAAATCTACTCAAGATGATGATCCAGAACGAAGACTACTTCATCGCCCCCAAGGGCCGCTGCTATCGCTGGTACAACAAACCCCAACATCTTCCATCTACGCCGGCGACACCCATAGTGGACGGCCCTGGAACCAACGACTCAAGCCGTTTGCTACAACTCCCGCGAGAGCTTCGTGATGAGATATGGGAGCTGGTCTTCAACTCGACGAGGCTGACATTTGGCCTGCAATATACACCCCGCTATGGCGAGCGGTACCTCAAGCCTGCCCCACATTCGCTCGCACTATTACGCGTATGTCGCCAGATCAATGCTGAGACACGTGACATCTGGATGCAGCGCGTGCTCTTCAACTTTGAGGATCCCCAGACCATGCTCAATAGGCTGTCGGACCTGCCAGAATCTACCGTGTCGAGGATCCGCCATGTTCGCCTCATCGGCTCCCCAATGATGCGCTATCTCAAGGGCTTTGATGATCTCATGTACCGGCACGAGTCCATTTTCCAGCTACTGCCTACACTCCGGCTTGACTGCTTGACCATCTTTGCAGTTGCCGCTGCTGCACCAGAGTACGATGCTATCACCAACCTGGTCAACCGTGGCAATGGTTGGAAGGAACTTCGATACATTACTCGTAGCTCACGCATGCTTGGATTCGGTCCTTCCAGGAGTCATGGATCTCGCGAGACTGGCGACATCTGTCGTCAGCCTCAGCCGAGATTCTGGAACAAGAGACTATTGAACAGAGACGGCGAGGGTTCGGGCTCTGTTGTCCAGGTGTTCAGGGCGCTAGACGAAGACGACGTCACTGCTGTTCTCGACCCGCTTAGGCGTGAGCCGTTTGAGCAGAACCCAGAAGAGCACCTAGTCAAAGGGTTCGGCCGAGTGGATGACGAAGGGCTGACAAGGGGCGCTGGTGCACGAAGAGCCTTACTTGTTGTGGTGAAGCGTGGCGACAGCGTAGACGTGAGCCAAAAATCTCCAGGTTACGGCAAAGAGCGCGACATGAAAGCGAGGTTCAAAAAGAGAACCTGGCGAGTGCGAAACAAAATCATTGTTTGGACGTCTCCAGATAGTGAACGAGACGACGATGAAGTGGGCAATGGATGGGCGAGACCTCAACTCCGCCGGCCCCCTTATGGCTTTGACAACTACTACGATATCGACGACATGTGAAGCACACCAGATGAAATGTCTTTGCTATATGTTTTTCGGGTGTTTAGGCATTATGAAGTTTGTCCACTTCCTAAGTTGAAACAGGACAGCATGACGATATACGCGGTATCCCAGGACTCACGACAGTAACTGACTGCCATGGCGAGACTCATGGGGTGGAACGGTTATGCTACAGCTCTGCTCAACCTCTGGACGAAGCAGGTAGCCGTTATGGGAGTCACGCCTGTTGAACAGGTACAAGACCCCATGTGAGTTGGCATCAAAGAAGGCTCGGGCCGGGGATAGGATCACTGGATGGTCCGCACAATGCGAAATGGTCCGCGGGTAGCTTATCGGAGATGCTTATTTTCAAAAAGGACATGAACTCTTGGTTTGGGGGCGGCGTTGATGGACACGGCGCAAAAGGGTGAGTTGTTGTTCCAAGCATGCTTGGCTAAACAGAGCAGCTGGTGCATTCATCATGTACACGGTACAACATGTTGTTGATCACTTGTTGTGATCTTACTCTCAGAAATGTCTGTGCATGAACCGATCTGGCAGTGAGAAAAACTTTGAATACAATTGTTTTATCTTTTTAGATAAGCAGCAAGTCACTGTTGAAGCAGATACGTCCAAAGTAAACAACAATGTCCCGCGAGGGCTTTTGCATTTGGATGGCCCTTGCAGGTAAGGACAGGGCAATCATCTCACTCATCCTGTATACCGATCATGTCCTGTATCACTACCTGCAGTGTCTATGCCCATGGCATATGGCCTGGAATGAGGTTCTGTATACTGAATTCTCAGCTGAGCTATCGACAGGATCAGCGTATTCGGGTAAATGCCGCAACCTCATGGTTTGAGCCACTAGCAAACCAAAGGCAGATGATCAAAGCATGAACCCGATTTCGATACTTACGC